CAAATACTATGAAAGTCAGAAATGGGGAGTCAAAGAGAAAGAGTTGGCTGGAGGCTTCCTGGAGTCTCAGGATTGGACTGAGCTTTGAAGGATGCAAGGATAGAGAGAGGCAGAGGGGACAGGATTTAAGAAATCCTCTTGTCCCTTGCTTTTCAGTTGATAAATATCCTATTATCATATTGGACTCTTCTTGAGTGATGATTGTTAATGTGCCTATAATTAGCTCTGTTTCTCTGTTTATATCTGACCTTTTTTCCCCCAATTCCTCTGGTGCCTGAGAACTAGTCTTAAATATCCTCAGTGATGGTGCAGAGGCAGGTCCCCATCTGCGCTGTCCCCACCTTGCTCCGGGATGAGTCACCACAGCGAGCGCCTGACCCAAGTCCCACGCACTTGCCTCTGGTCCTCGTGCACATGCAGTGATGAGCTTTCCACCTCCTGTGGTGTTTCTTATGCCAAGTCAGGGCATCCCCTCAGGCAAGCTCCCAGGTGACAAGGACAAAATCATGTCGAGGCACCTGACGTGCCTTCGAGTGGGCTCAGAATCAGCCCTGCCTTTTAACCAAGAGACATGAGGGAGCTTCCACCCAGGAAGGAGGAGAATATCCCGGGAGGGGCAAAGCTGAAAGGGAAGCAGGCTCCCCGCAGAACTGAGAAAAGGCACGCGGGCATATTCCAGGGCTGGTGATGGGAACTGCACCAGGGCAAGCATGCTGCCACCTCACTGACCTGTCCACATGTGTGTCCATGTGTGTGTGCACGTGTGCATAGGAAAAGGAGAGAAAGAGAAGAAGAAAATAACGAGGTAAGGGAGGCCACAGTGATGAGACAGAGAAGAGAGAAATGACAGTGGAACCACTGGAGAAAAGGAGGAGATAGTCAAATAAAAGCAAAAACCCCAGAATCTGCTCTTCTCCCTTGTGTGTGACTTTGCTTTGATTGTGGACATGAAATGGACAGTTCAGGCCTTCCTACACTTGGTTATTTGAGCTAACAAAATATTCTTCCTGCCCATAAGAGGGTCAGGAAAAGCATCCTTGTCTTCATTCTGCAGTGGGTCTGGTCCACACCTCTAGTCACCGCACTGTGCCTCCCTCTTCCTGGGTGAAATGGGAACACTCAGCCATTCTACTGCCTCTCTGGAATCCTTAAAGCCGCCAAAGATAGCGTTCGGGTTCTCCAAAAAGGGCATTATGTTTAATGCCAAGATTTACCACGTTAGTAAGGGAAGGAAAGTGTGACTTTTGTACTTCAATAACATATGATTAGAAAGCATAAACAAGTATTTATTAGATTGGGTTTGTTACGTTTTCATGTATTTCACCAAGACTTGGCACCAGCCCACCCCTGCACCTGGGACCCACCGTGTGTGTGTGTGTGTGTGTGTGTTTGTGTGTGTGTGTGTGTGTGTGTGTGTGAGAGAGAGAGAGAGAGAGAGAGAGAGAGAGAGAGAGAGAGAGAGAGAGAGAGAAGATTGGCATGGGAGGAGCACACCCAGCCAGAGCCCCTGGAGATGCTCTCTGTCCCTGCCCAGGACCCTATGACATGGTCCCCACATTGCTGTGTTCCAGATCTCTCCACTCCTCAAGGGCTGCAGTTCAAGACCATCACAGAGACCACCGTGGAGGTGCAGTGGGAGCCCTTCTCCTTCTCCTTCGACGGGTGGGAGATCAGCTTTATTCCAAAGGTAACCCCACCTGACAGCCCGCTACATGGCCTTCTGTAGAGTGTCCACACCCTCCACGTGGGATCTGGGACAGCAAGGAAGGCACTGGCCCATAGCTCTCTACACCACTGAGGACACAAAGGGATGTTCTGTGGGTGTCTGGGCTGTACGTGTGGTGAGGGACCCTGAGCCCAGCATGCTGGCTTGAGGTGACAGAGGATGGATGTGGGAAGCAGCCACCAGCCCCGCTCTCTGCTCAGAAAGCTCTGGGGTTTCGTGGACTGTGATTAGTGAGCCTGAACACCACACCTTCTGAGACCTGGGGCTTCTCTCTAGGACATAAAAAAGCCACCTGAGCCAGTCACGTGGTCAGCCCCGCTTTATCCTGTGCACACAGATGCACCAGAGTCCGCTTGCAAGGCTTCCGTCTCTCACGGCTAGAGGTGCAACACAAAAACACCTTTCGTAACCTATTAATTGAGCAAAATTTCCCTTAAACAAATTACATCATTCATCTTTGAGTTAAAAGTATCCCAAGGTGTGTTTCTGTTCAGTAAAGTCATATTTTATTTTCTTAATCCTAAAACGAACATTTCCACGTTGCCAGCGGTACCTGACTAGTTGTGGTTTTCCAGAGTTTGTTGACCCCACTGATGTTCTTCCTACTGTATCACTCATGGGGGTATAATGTTTAATCAGACTCCTTCCCTCTGGCTTCATCTTTCAATATCAAAGAACATTTTTTCTGTCATTCATCAGATTTAATGATACATGACACATTGTTGGCTAATAAGACTGTGATTTCACCATTCTTAGAGGCATGAGCTGTTGGAGCTACAAAAGACCTTCAAGTTCACAGAGTAGACCCTTCATTTTACATCCAGTTCCCATAGTTTATAGAGACAGAAACTCTGTGAACTTAAACTTACACAGCTAGTTGGTGGCAGGCTTAATCCAGGAGCCCAAGTGTCCACGGCTCTGTCCACTAATCCAAGAGGCCCCCCTCTGCCATGTGGATGTAGTCATGTCATGGCAACCTAAATACATCTAAACAGACATTCTGTACAAATATTTTATTATATGTCTTATTTGTGTTCAAATGACCAGTAAAGTTTGACAGGCAGATGAGTTTATAATGCAGAGAAAATCATGCCACCCTACTGCTCAGGCAAGAAAAAAACTGTGCCAGCCTTGCCTGTTTTATAAACAACATGTGACAAATAAGAGGGGCTGGCTAGGGCATGCCAAGGTCAAACACATGGCCACAGAGAATAATTGTGTGATCTGTGGGTTGGGGCCACTGAGCGGTATGTGTCACACTGATTTCCAAGAGTTTGGCTCTGAGGAACATACAGGGCACTCTGGGTAGCATGAAAAGAGACCAGAGAATAGAGGAGAGGAGCAGTGCCACAGAGAAGTCCTCTTGTCCCCTCAATTTCCAGGGACACACATAGAAAATTGTTAATAGACAGGTAGGTAGGTAGATACTCAATCTGGGACCCAATGTCATCATGTTGATCTTTCTCATTTTCCCTTCTACCATTTTTCTCCTTCCTCTCTCCTTTGTATTATTCTTTGTTCCACACTTCCTTTTTCTCTTCTCTGTACTTATAGTTGGTTGTGTCACTGACTCCTAACACATCTGGGTGAAGAGGAAACAAGACATTGACAAATTTGCACCCTGAGTAACACCATGAGAAACTCCAGACACAGCAAAATACAGCTCTGCCTCATTAAAAAAAATCTGCAAACATCTTAGTTTGGAAAGTGTGTGTGTGTACACAGAGCTGTTTACACTCATACGCAACTCTTATATATAGCCAAGAACATGCTCATCAAGATGAGTGCAAACTGTAACCATCAACCTTCTCATCTTTGGCAAAAGCTAAGCTACATCACCTCATGACTAATTTGTATTGGCAAATTCAATAGACTCAGGAAACGCCAAAGAAATGTTCTTGAAAATTGGTTTTCTCCATTTGCCAAAGCCTCCTATAGGGGTGGCCTTCTCCCTGAGCCTGGTGAGACTCATCCCTGGCCCCAGACACTCCGCTGTCCTCATGGAGGGGAGAGGAGGAGTCATCTTTGGCAAAAGCTAAGCTACATCACCTCATGACTAATTTGTATTGGCAAATTCAATAGACTCAGGAAACGCCAAAGAAATGTTCTTGAAAATTGGTTTTCTCCATTTGCCAAAGCCTCCTATAGGGGTGGCCTTGGGCCTTTTGGTGGATGGAACAAAACCAAAAGACAGAGCCATCTTATATTTGGCGGGAAATTCACCCGCACTCCAAGTGTTAAATCACAATTCACAAACAGTGGAACACCTTTCTCTCCCAGTGACTTTTTTCTCTGCATCTCCCTTCCCCCACCCAGAACAATGAAGGAGGGGTCATTGCCCAGCTCCCCAGCGATGTCACATCCTTCAACCAGACTGGACTAAAGCCTGGGGAGGAGTACATTGTCAACGTGGTGGCCCTGAAGGAGCAAGCCCGGAGCCTCCCCACCTCGGCCAGCGTGGCCACCGGTGAGTGCCTCCTGCCTGGTTCCCGAGGCTACCCCTGGGTCACTCACAAGGAGGAACTACAGGCTTGTCGGACATCTCCCAGAGCTGAGAACAGCATTGGTACCTGCAGATGGAGATCCTCTGCCAGATGCTAAGCAGAACCTCTTCCTTACTGCTTCTTGCAAGCATAGGAACTTGGGAGGGTATTCTGTGGAGAAATTCTATGTTAAGATGTCCAGTGTGTTTCTCCCAGTCTTACTCATCAAGAGGTCTCATTTGTCAGCTCCTAGTATCTTGAGCTTTGGAACCTACATGAGATTTAGAGAAAGTCATCCAACGCTTCTTAATTCACTTTACAATGGTGAATAATAAGAACTCTGTCAATGACTTGACATGAGGGTTAAATCAGATAATGCATGGAAAGTAATCAGCACTGTGTTGATGAGAGTGAGTGCTCAATACCTGGTATATACACATGTGCTCAGAGAACACACTTAGACATGAGAGTGTAGGGAAGCGTCATTAAAGACCAGGAGTATAGGTTGGGTCACTGTTCAAGATGAACTTAAGTTTATTATTTCCTCCCCACAGTTCCTCTCATGCAAGATCTTTATTTCTAGGTTTGATTCACTCACTGCATCGTGTTTTGCCTTATTTCCTTGGCTAACAAAGGCTGTAAATTAGCAATTATAATGCATATGTGTGTGCCCTCACCAAGAATTTTTCAAAAGTTATAAATAGCATCTGGTATCTTGTTTGTTCTGATTTTAGGGATGGGAGGAATTGAGACTGGAAGGTTAAGCAACTTCCCCTGTGAGTAAATGAGATAGGCGAATATTGGTACAGCTTTATTTTTCATAAACAGAAATTGACACTGAAGAAAGCCAGTCAGGAGTCCAGGGCAAAGGCCGAGTTGGCCAGGATAGGGAGCCACAAGGCTATGTAATGAGACACATTGCGTTAGTGATTCATGCTTTGCTCATGGATCCACACTGAGCGGTATCAGGTGCTGAGGCTTATGCTCGATAGAGAAAACACTGGTTTAAAACTGTTGTGGAATTAGGTTATGTTCCATCAGAGCACTGGGGTTCCATGGCAGCATCCCGAGGCCAGGACAAGGGGACATCCAGGCTTCTGACCACTCTGTCCGGGCGCGCCACATCCGCCAACCACGGCAGCTTCACTGTCATCTCTTGTACATTTTGTACAGTCATTTAAGAGTTTGTGCTTTAATTCCTCCTCCCAAAAAGAGGCTTTTAAACCAGAGTTCTAGACCAAATGTGTTTTAGAAGAAACTGCACAGCCATGAAGCCTGCAAGTGCTCTGCAGGAATCTCTCCAGATGCCGGGCGGGCTCCACATCTTTGCTCCCCAAGGTTAGCTGGAGCCTGAGGTTGACCTTTTCATCGCGTGTGTAGATTCTCCTTTCTGATGTGGAATGTTCCTTCCTGTGATTGGATAGTAAGAAAGCGTTAGTCGGAAGCAAAAGACGATGAGAAGGCAATGGTTCATCAGAGGGCCCAGGACATTACAGTAGCAGAATGTTTTTCTTCCAAAATATAGGATGTTCCCCCAAAATGTATACTCACACTTTGAATAATTATAAAGGCAGCATTTATTAAAATACATTTTATTTTTAACATTGAGCGATCAACTGTTACAGTGTGTATACATTTTTGGGGGAAACCCTGTATTGACAGCACTTACAGAAGGTAGTCCAACACCACCTTAGTCTTCTCCTTAATCCACATTTTTACATTTGCAGGATTTTTTGGTTTGGAAGTTTCTTAAGAGGAAAATGCAAAGTTCCAGACCTGAAAATGTGTGGTAAAGCTAGGGAGAATTGTTTTTCCAAAAGGAAAACATCCTAGTTAATATTTTGGTGTTGTGTTCAGAGTCATGAAGAAATGGAAAGAAGCATAATTATTCCAGTTTACTTTCTGAGTAGGACCTGTGTTTGTTTAGAATTTTGGGCCCAAGTTGAAAGCAAGCTGACCCCTCCTGGCTGGGATGGGATAGCTCACGGAAGTGGCCAAGGAAGGGCAGAATCCAAGAGCAGAGCGGCTGCAGAAAGTACGGTTGCTCCAAACCCTGTCTGCTATTTTTAGAAAATGATTGTTTAATTATTTCCTTCTGCTAAGGTCTGACCTACACTAACCCCCTCCTGCGAGGCTCCAAGGCCTCATCAGGCTCTCAGACTGGCTTCTTGCAGGCAGGTCATTTTGGGAATGCAAATTACAAGACCTCCTGCAGCTGGAGCACTCAGCTACACAGTCACACTCTCACAGGGACAGTGCCTTAAGCCTAGGGTTTGGGGGATGGAAAGAGTTGAAGGACAAAAGCCTTACCTGATCATTTGCATTTCTGTGACATCTTTCTTTCTTCCCCAAGAAGTTCCAGTTCATTGAAACACTTCCCCTTCCTTCTCCTAGATACAGGGGATCGCCCATCCATTCCTCCCATTCATCCAACGCCCATTTCCTGAGTGACTACTATGTTTCAGGCATTAAGCTTATACAGCAGGTAGGAGACCATTTAAAAATGGCCCAACTTATCTAAAAACCCTAAGTACAGCAAGCCTAAAACATCTGGATGTGTTCCGTTCGATCATATTGTTATCCCAGATATGAAAAACAAAACTGCATTTTAACTCCAAACCAGGTGGCACCACAATGGTCTGCCGATTTTCATTTGGGCTATTTGTTACTAGACCCCAAATCCTAAGCTGCTTAATAGAGAACAAAACTGGTTAGACCCAGAAAGCGGGTGGGGCGACCAGGGAAAGGCCCAACTCCGCAAGACTGAGAGGCTTGGGTCGGACTGAGACCGGGCCCAGGGAGACACTCCATCTTGGAGACAGCAGGAGGCAGTCCAGCATGGGCAGATGACAAACCAGTCTCAGGGCTCTCTGGTAACGAGGAGGAAAACTTTCTTAACTAGCTGAGGCAGGGAAGAGAACTTACTGGAAGGACAGTGTCTCATGGAAGCCCCAGGGCCAGAAATGGATGGGGGCCTCATGAAAGACTTGAATCAGAAAATGGAGAATTGGGAATCGAGTTCCTGTCTCTATCTAGACGCTCCTCTGAGTCACTCATTTCTGCTTCTCTCTGTACTTCTGCTCCTAAAACTCTGTCCCCAGTTCCCATGGGGATTCTCTGCAACACCAGCGGGGTGTCCGGTGTCCTGCAACTCAGCTCCATCCTCTCTGCCCAGGGAGAGTATCGGCCACCACAGGGGAGGGCTCAGTCCGCAAGGCTGGCCTCCACTTTAGATGCCAGTCGCTCTCATGGTCACACTCAACTAAGCAGAGTCTCTGGTTCTAATTCCAAACCCATGAACAGTATTAACAGCAATCAGCTCCAGTCACTGAGTAATTCAAAGCAGGCCTGGTGGCCTTGCAGACATACCATGAGGAGTGAAGACCATTTTCCATTCTCCTCACCAATCCTTTCTCTCTCAGTTTTCCTTCTATATTCTCTCACCTTCCCCCACACCCATCATCTAATTCAATGTGCACAGGATGAATGGTGGGACCCCTAGGAAACCAGCCAGGTTTTCGAGGGTAACACCACCCCACCATAAGGTCCCCTCAGCTGCTCAGTGCCAGCGTCCAGGGCTCATGAGGGGCTGCGTGTGACTGCAGTGTCCTTCTGGCTCAGGAATGTGCAAGAGCAGGTGGGGAAAATAGCCCACAAGAGATGGGTCCAAAACCAAGGTCCTCTTTTGTCAGAAGAGCACGTTTCCCTAAAAGGCACGTTCCATGTCAACAATGCAAATGTCTGTTGGCTGTTGGTAGCGTCTTAGCAGCTGTGTTGACTGAGTTGCTCGCATGGCTGAGCAGGAACATCTTTTGGATACTCATGATGCCCCATTTGGCAACTGTGTTGGAAGTCTCAGGTGTTTAGATGAGGCTGATAATTTCATAGATCTTTCCTCAGAGCTGGGCGCTGGGGCTCACGCCAGAAGCTCAATTCTCTGTCCAGACAGAAGCAGCCCTGGCCCTCTCAAGCCAGCCAAGATGGGAAAAACTCAGCCTGGTGACAGGAGATACAGGAAACTGAATTCCGGTGTCAGTTACCCTGCTTCCAAACTGCATCCTCCGAAAAGAGATGTCTCCTTACTGTGCCTCCTTCTCCCCATCTGTGAAATGGGATCATAACACCCATCCCTTCCCTGACTGATGTAAGGAGAAGGGAGAGAGCTCATTTCTCAAACGTCCTTCTGTTTGATCCTTCTCCTTCAGTCATTGACGGGCCCACGCAGATCCTGGTGCGAGATGTCTCCGACACCGTGGCCTTCGTGGAGTGGACTCCCCCTCGAGCCAAAGTCGATTTCATCCTCCTGAAGTACGGCCTGGTGGGCGGGGAAGGCGGGAAGACCACCTTCCGGCTGCAGCCTCCCCTGAGCCAGTACTCAGTGCAGGCCCTGCGGCCCGGCTCCCGCTACCAGGTGAGCGTCAGTGCCGTCCGTGGGACCAATGAGAGCGAGGCCTCCACCACCCAGTTCACGACAGGTAAGGCTGTGGCGGGGCAGAGGGGTGACAGGGGATGAGCCAGCGGTGGTACCATCATGGCAAGAATGGTATTCGTGGGTGAGAGGATGCGTGCTGGGGCACCCAGGTCACCATGGTCATTGCAAGAAGGAAGCATGAGATTTCGGGGCCCCTGGTGACACTGCGTCACAGTGGAGGGCCACGCGTGTACCCGTGGTGGGAGTCATGTTCTCGTCCCGCCCGTTACCAGCCAGACCTGGGACCTGCTCTAAGCCTCGTCCCATGGCTTCAGCTTTTTCGTTTGTACAATGTAAATTGTCTTGAAGATGGTTACACATCCATATGACGAGCCCAAATGGCAGTTTGGGGAAGGGGCCCTTTTATTGCTGCTTGCAGAGATTGTTGTAATACTTCTGTAAGTCCATCATGACTGCACGGCATGATGGCACCCCCTGGATTTGGAAGGACCCTCACCTGAGATCCTGTGTCTGCCATTCGTTTGTAAGTGTGACCTCGAAGGCTAGGGGCAGACTGGCTCCCTCCCACAGACAGCGGGCGGAGTGAAGCAGGTCAGTGTCCCCGTCTTGTGATGATGCCAGCCCCTCCACCCCCAAAACTGTCGGGACTCTTAAAGAGCTTCACCGACAGCCGGGAAAGGCCAGGCCTCTAGGGGACCTGCTCCCCGACTCTCTCGGAGCCCATGGCTGGACTCCACCCCACCCAGGTGCCAATCAGATTTGTTACTGAACATTCCACAGCAACCCAAAATCACTCAGGGCCTCGCGTGCAGAGCGACCTCCATAGTGACCTTTCGGGTGAATCCAAGGTCTGCCCTTCCTGCCCCACCCCACACCCCATACACAGACCACAGCCTGCTCCGGTGCTGGGGCCTCCCATGGGCTACAGTCCTGCATTCCTTTTAAAATTTAAAACAGGTTTTGTTTGAAACGTAGTTTATTTGTGCTTTGCTCGGATAAGGAGTTCAAAAAGGCAGGAAAGGGGATGAGAGCCCTTGAGCAGCAGATGAAAAGCAAGTGCTTGATGTTTAGGTTGACAAGATGGAGGCAGGATTGGCTGGTGGCCCAGAAAAATTCCAATCAAGACGATTACATTCTGCTTCCGGGAAGCGGCCCTGAGTCTCGGTTCATTGCTGCATGAGTCTCTGTTGCGGGTTGCCTGGCAGATTGGCAGATGTTAGGAGGCTGCCTTCGCAATGCGGCCTCAGCCCACACCTCCAACCTGCCCCTCTCTGCTCCGGGGTGCAGGGGCGTGGGGAGTGTGGGGATAGGGAGAGTGAGCAGCTTTGCCCATAAGCCCTCAGGGCTGGGGGTTGGCAGGTGCCAGCGGAATGATGAGTGTGCCTGGCCCATCGCGGTAGGGCCCTCAGTCATTTCAGAACTCCGCTTAAATTCACATTAGCCAAAGTGCTTTTCCAGGTGATGGCTTCGACACCAGGCGAGCACTAATTGCACAGACAATTAAAACAGAGATTTGCTTCCTGCGTGGTGAGTGGAATGTTAGGGCTGCTCAGAAAAAGCAAAGAGCTCAGATGGAAGCTCGCCGAGGCCAGTGGCAAGAGAGCGCCAGCCCGAGGACACCAGAGGCCTGTCTCTGCACCTCCCTGCCCCACAGTGGCTCTGGTTCTAGTTTCAGGAAGTTCCTGAGACCCTTCCTTCCTGGGACCCCTCCCTCTGAGCACATCCCCAAAGCACTGAACACAGCCACCACGGCGTTTGGCCAACCAGCAGCTACTGCTTTAACTGAATGCACAAACTCCTATTGAACGCTGTTATGAGTTGAACTGTGTCCCCTACAAAGATGTGGAAGTCCTGATGCTCAGTACCTGTGTATGTGACCTAATTTGGTTGATCGAATAAGAGGTCATTAGAATGGGCCTTATGCCAATATGACTGTGGGAGAATTTGTCGTGAACTGGGGAAAGGAGGGAATTTGGACCCAGATGGACATGCATACACGGAGAACACCACGTGAAGATGAAGGCAGGGAACAAGCCAAAGGTTACAGGCAAACCAGCAGAGAGAGGCACAGGACAGACTCTCCCTTACAGCCCTCAGAAGGAAACAACCCTGCCAACACCCATCTCAGACCTCTAGTCCATGGGACAATACATTTCTGTCGTCTCAGCCCCAGGAAACTAACGCAAAGGCCAAGCCACCACATGGGAGCCACAGCCTGCTCAGCAGTGAGAGCACCTGCCACCCTCCCCCCACCTCACCTCCAGGACCAGCTGCCTTTAGGCGAAGCTGTTCCTGTCCCTGAACCGCCTCCTCCCAGGCATCCTTCAGAGCCCCGCAGCTGGGATATTTAACAAGGCTTTTCTAACAGCTTTAAGGGAACAGACAAGCCAGAGAACTGCCAGTATTCATCCAGGCACCTCACATGCACTCACTGAACACCTACTAGGTGCCAGGCACTGTCCCACGCACCAAGGCTACAGAATAAGCGAGCCAGACAAGGCCCAGGTTCTCATGAGTTACATTCCAGTGGGGACACTGGACAAGGAAGAAGAGAAGAAACACACAGGCCCTTTCAGCCATGAGCATTATGCTGAGAAGCGAAATGGACGACCTAGAGAGAAGTTCAGAAACATCTGTCCGAGGAGATATTTAATCAAGACCTACGTTACCTAAGCCAAGTGAGGATCCAGGAAGAGCATTCCAGGCAAAAGTAGCAGCCGGTGCAAAGGCCCTGAGGCAGGAATCGCGTGATGTGTCTCAGGGGCAGGAACAGAGGCAGCGCAGCCGGAACACAGTGAACGAGGGGAAGTGTCACACCGTGTTGTCTGCGAGGCAGGGGGCTGATCACACAGAGCTGCCGGCCTCCCTTAGAGTTCCTAATAGGAAGCGAGAGGCAAGTTTTCAGCAGGGAATCACTGGCTTTACTTTACGTTTTAGAGATTAGATGTGGCTGCTACCAGAGCCCCAAGCCCCAGGTTACCCTGGAGCCCCCACCGGACATCTGCCTTTGCCTTGCCCCTGGCTTGCTGACAAGTGGCTGGGACCAGCCTAGCAGCCAGAGGTCAGGCTTCAAGACCATTTCACTCCACCTCTTCTGACATCATGGACATTGGAAATGACCCTAATCACAGGGCACAGGCCTTAAGGCAAAGCAAACAAAAACAGTTTCCAAGGTCTGGGATTTTTGAAAAGCAGATACAGGACTCAGCCTGAGCCATAAGCCTCAGCTATTGTCACTGCAGTTCCATTCAGCCCGGTCCAGCCCCTCATCCCAGCCTCTCCTCGGGCGTGGGACTGAGCGCTGTGGGGTGCAGGGAGGTCCTCACACATGCCTCTCAGTCCAAGCTCCTCTCTCCACCCAAGTGCTGCAGGAGTAACACACAGCCCATCGAAAAGGCGCAGTTTCCGATGCTAAAGCCACACTGAGCAAGGAAATGTTTCTCAGAAAAAGTAGCTGCAAAGACCTAAATCTGCCCAAAGTCTCACCGAGTTCCCATCACTAAACGGAACACTCGTCACCCTGAAGCTGCTCGCAGATGGAGTCATGCACCCGTCTTCCCCAGGAGCAGCCAGGGGACGCTGGCCTGGCACTTGCCAATTGAAGCAGGTGACCCCAGGCTTCCTCAGAACTAGCGGCTGGCCCACTGCACAGTCCAGTCCACGTCTCGACAACAAGACCTGTTCGCAACGTTTTCAGTGGTCGTTTATCCTGCCAGCGCCTGTTACCTTGTTACCCTGCAGCGTGTCAGTGTTCCTTTTGCCAAAATAAGCCTGAGATGACCAGTCCTGGGAGAGAGAACCAGCCCCCAGGATTGTGGGAGAGACCACAATGGCAATGGTCTCTTTACTGCGTTGGAATTATTGGACCCCACAGAGCAAGCATGGGGGGTTCCCTGTTGTTGGAACTCAGAAAGCGCTTCGGAGGCAATGGGAAGTCCGCCCAGGGCTTGGGCACCGGTTTTTACACCAGGCCACGCACATCATTTGCATCGTCTAATCTATACAACGATCTAAAATGTCAGTACTATTAGCCCATTTTACGGACGTGGACATCAAGGCCCAGTGAGGTGACAAGTAATTGGCAGAGTTAGGGCTCAAACTGAGGCCTGACTCCAAAGCCCACGTTCTGTCCACTGTCTACCACATCACGCAGAACAGAGTTTATTCTTGCATTATTATTAATTCTTGCATATTTTCCCATATGAACAACTGTCAAGCTATTTTTGCCCACCCCTGTATATAGCATTTTCTAACTGCAAACCTTCCAGCAGCATCTGTGCAGGTAAGCAGGGAGGACAGCTTCAGAATCTTGCTGTCAACAAGCCTCCTTTCTGTTTGGTGGTCAAACGTGAAACTGCGCTAGTCTAGTCCAGCTCCCTCACCTGCACACAGTTTCTCCTGCCAGCACTTGTTACCTTGTGACAGGTGTCTCTGGTTTTGTCCTGTCCGGGTTTTTCCTTGCTTAGTTTCAAGCTTATGATACAAACTGGTTCAGTTTAAATGTCTAGAACGCCGCTGGAAATTCCGAGTGGAAATGGGGGAAGAGTAAAGTGTGCTGATAACTAACTCCTAAGCAAAACTCTCCAAACTCCCTGGAATGTGTGGTGGCCAACCCGGCTGCAGGGCAGCCTGGGGTCACTCACACAAGAGGCAGGGTCAGGAGGTGTGGGCTGTCACTGCAAAGCTTGTTTCTGTTCAAGATGCATGACAAATGCACATTATCCCGTGTGATCTGGGTGATGTCTGACTCTTTTTTAGAGATTGACGCCCCCAAAAACCTGCGGGTTGGCTCCCGCACAGCCACCAGCCTGGACCTCGAGTGGGACAACAGTGAGGCGGAGGTTCGGAAGTACAAGGTTGTGTACAGCACCCTGGCAGGCGAGCAGTACCACGAGCTGCTGGTCCCCAAGAGCGTTGGGCCAACCAGCAGAGCCACCCTCACCGGTGAGTGAGATCGTGTCCACACTCTCACAGCTCTCTTCCCGCCCACCTACACCACCGCCAGATGCCATTGATTTAGTCTCTCGCATGCCTAGCATATCGCATGTGTCCCCTACTCGCCATTGCACGCCATCGCCTGGTCTCGGACCCTGTCACGTCCTGTCTTACATGTCAGGGACATCCATTGCTCTTGGATAAACACCAAACCTTAGCCAAGCCCACACGGCCTGCCTGGTTTTCCTGCCATCTTCTCCAGTCTCCCCTCCCTCCCTGCTCCAGGCCCACAGGTGTGCTCCTTTCAGTCCCTCACGCACCTTGTCCATTCCCGGCAGGTCAGGTCCCCTGTCTGCAGCCTCATCTCGCTGGTCACCACTCCCCTCCCAGGACCCTGTGTGTCCTGCGCACCGCGCTGGGTGATGCAGTTGTCAGTGTCCACTCTCCACCTAAAGCTCTGTGGAAGGTGGACTGTGTTTGCTTCTGCTCGTCATTGGCTCCCCAATGTCCAGCATCTAGCACTTACTGAGTTCTAAATAAGCGGTGGGTGGATGGATGGAACTTTAAGTGTTCACTGTGACTGAGAAATAGTGATAAGGTGAGAGGCTGGTGGGGCCTTATACACCCTGTCTAGAATGGGAGTCACAGGGATTTTTAAATAAGGTGAGGTAAGGCCTAGATCTGTGCAGCTGCAGCATGGAGAAGGGGCGAGGGGAGCAAGGACAGAGGCAGACACTGGTCACGAGGCCGTGCTGGAGTCAATGGCAGGGATGATGGTAGTGTGGACTAGGACGACGCCCAAGGTCACCATGATGCCTGGCTGGGAGCATTCCCTGTCCCCATGGAGACAGGGGCCCAGCCAGTGCTCCTCCTGGGCTTCAGACACACCCACCCAGGAAGACCCACCTGGTGGACTCCACTGACAGGTAGATGACGGGAACGCAGGGCGCGTTTAATATGTGACGTGCACAGCAGCCTCGGATGAGGGCTGCCAACGCGCCCGCACACACAGCCTCTGCTCAGTGTGCCTTGGCTTCCTACCGGAGCACTGGCCATCTTAGCCGACGGGAGGCACAGCAAATGGTCGCACAGTAAACAAGGGCAGTGGAAGCAAAGCTGTTTCCTCCTGAGCTGGAATCCCAGGCTGCCTTGTCCAACGAGGCCGGTTAAAGCAAATATAATAAATGCGCTTTCCAGGCAGACGCACTTCTGAAAACACTGCCAGGAGACGCAAGGATATGCTGACCAAGCAGGTTAATGGGGGTGAATTAGATGTAGTGGGAACAGACCAGCTGGCGGAAGGGCTTTTACCGAGAGCTGGAGACATTCACAAAAACTAAGCTAAACCAAAAAGCTGAAATGATGCAGCAGGGAGCCGATTCTAAGCGCAGCCCATCCCTGCCTAAGCCTCAGGCTGGTTTGGCAATTAGCACTTTCCAAGGATGATGGCTAGTTGTTAGGATGGCAGATACACCATAGAATCATGAGAGAGATAGAAAAGAGCGCAGTCACATTCCAGTCATTATTTCCCTCAACCAGGAGAAAAAGACTCTAACTTCATTGACCATCAATGTTATTCCAGTCACCTTCATGTAGGTACAGCTCATTTCACCTTCAGAACACCCCTGAGGGTTGTTGGCATCCCCATTTTATGGATGTGGAAACTGAGGCTCAAGGCACTTGGAAACTTGCCCAAGTTCACAAAGCCAGCAAGGGGCACAGCCCTGACTCCAAGGCAGTTCCAAGTCCTCATCAAAAGCCTCCCGCTCCGTGCTGCTCCTACTGAAGTAGTAGGCTGGAAGGGACAGTCAGCACGTCAGTGCTGCAGACTTACAAGGAAAGGAAAAATTATTAACAACGAGAGGGCTTGCATAGTCCATGTTTTTGTTAGAGTTGGGCTGATGAAATTAACCTACAAATATATATTGCTCATAATTATCGCAGGGAGTTCGCAGCTGGGGAGATTTATAAAGGCAAATGGCTTTGTGTGACTTAAGGAAACTATGTCTGTACTTGCTGAGATGCAAGTTACAAGGACTGTTGGCTCTCGAGCTGCCTTCTGGGGGAACAGAAAGAAGGACCTTGGCTGAGGGGAGGCAAAATGAGGGAGAAGCTCCGCCCCCTTTTTTTCTGGTTCTAAACACAGTCATTTGCATTTATAAAAACAAGACCATGGGCAGGGTGGGAAGGGCACTCCAGGTCACCTGCAGCAATCCCTCCCTAGGAACTTCAATTCTCCCTGTTCCCACCCTCCCTATCCCCTGATCAAAAAATAATCGAGGCTCCAGGCAGGAGATCCCACTCCCTTTGAGTGCTTTGCTCATCAGCAGTGCCCTCCCAGCAGAGCTGCGGGGAATTCAAGGAGATGCCATGTGCGACTCTCTAACAAACTAGTTCCTAATAGTGTTCTTGACCATTAAACACTCAAAAATTCCCCTTCAGTGTTTATCCCTCCTTCCTTCCCTCCCTTTCTCCTTCATTATTTTTCTAGATCACCTATTGCTTGCAGCCCAGTGCTTGGCATAGTGTATGTGTTCAAGAAGTCATTGGTTTCCTTCTTCACCAGATTTTTAAAATCTCATGAAGGGCAAGGGTGCTGTCCATTCAGCTCACCCTGGTGCCCCGTTCACAGCCATGTGCTTGGCACACAGGAGCCTCTCAATAACATCTGGTGAGTGAGTGCACTGTGTGCCGTAGGAGTTCAGAGCAGAACAGGTTCAGAGGAGAGCTGAGAACAGCGTCACCCTCCAAGCTGAACAAAGGAGGCTCTGTAAGAGATGGAGACCGGCGGTTTCCTACCGGGCAAATTTTCTGAGCTATTGTTAAGAAAGGGAACAGAGCCATTGCTACGCTACCACTTTCAGGAGTTGGATGGGGAGATAAAGGGAGCATTGATAGAGAGCCATGAGCTCTCGAAGACGTGAGCAACCCCTCGGAGCCCCCGGAGTGCAGATGTATAAATGCACTGGATACGCCTCAGATATACATTTCCTTCTCGGGCAGAACTGCACTTTACCTGCTGGCAAAGAGCAGCGCTCACTTCCACACAGGAAGAAAGCTGCCAAAAATGAAAGGAAAGCAGCAGGCGGGAACCTACCAAGCGAGCCCCGCTTCCCCGCTCCCCAGGCGGGAGGCCTGGGAAGAGAGCACTTGAAATTCTGCTCCACGTTTTTCTGGAAGAAGATGATTCCATTGTAAATTATTGAACATTTCATTTAAGCTTCATAAATAAGAAACTCGGATGAAAACATTGCATGTTAGATCCGCTTGGCAACATGTAATTTCTGTCTTACTTCCTCGACCTGTCACCCTTCATCTGCTTCGGAGAATTTCTACTTCATTATAGGCAATTGAAGGTCTCAATCAGTTGCCTGGAAAAGTAGTTTATGTCCCAAAGGTAATCTAATTTCTCCAACCAAGGTTGTGCCTGGGACGCGTGACAGAGATAAATGTGTGCTTCGAAGAGGTCTGGGGCATTGCAATCACCCCATCAATCTAACCAGGGCCTCACTGCCGCCTGGGCTCCCCGAATCTCTGGTTTCATCAGCAAACCAGCAACAGGTGTGCTGAGGACCAGCCTGTACCTGCCTGGGCAACACACAGAAAGAAGAAAGGACCCAGAATCCGGGAATAGTTCTCCAAGCAAGTTAACAAGAATGTTGGCTACTGTCACGATGAGCCACGCACTGCACTTCATCCACATCAGTTCACTTCATCCCCACAGTGACCCTCTGAGATAGATACGGTTATTCATCCGCTTCTACAGAAACTGGCGCTCAAAGACACAAAATTAAGGAATCAAAATGCCCAAGTGGAGAGTGGCAGACCTGAAGGAAGTTTGGCAGACCTCAAACTCCGTCTGACTTCTGAGTTCATACTAGTGTTGACACTCCCAAGAAATAACTAAGGATTAGGAAATGGGTGGGGCTGGCTGAGGAAAGGAATAGATGAGGCCATGCACCCCTGCAGGCGAGCCTGGTCAGCAAGGCCGGGTGGGCTCTGCCCCATCGAGCATGGGGGGATTTATTGCTCAGCCTGCACTGAAGCCACACGGGGGGTGGGTGCAGACCCTCTGACTGCCCCACAGCACCCCGCTTCCATAAGCCAGGCCATTTGTTAAGGAAACATCGCCCCATGCCCTTCCTCTCAAAATCATTCCTGATACGTCAGGGATCCTGAGGGAGTCAAGGACCTCTGGCCATCACCAAAGCCGGGAGGAGTCTCCACGCAGAGCCTCTGGAAGGAGCGTGGCCCTGCGAACACCTTGATTTTGGCCCTCTAGCCTCCAGAACACTGAGAGAGTACATTTCTGTTGTTTTAAGCCGCCCAGTGTATGTCCATTTGTCATGGAAGCCCCTGGAAATGAATGCAGATGGGAAAGGCTCTTCATCCCACCGTGTTGCAAGGTTGTGGTGAGGATCAAACACATGCAAGTGTTCTGCAGAGAATAAATGTTCCATAAATGCAGAAGAGCACGGTCATCAGCCAGGGCTCTGGGGGGCCCACGGGAGATGATGTGATCATGTTGCATTTTTTCTGCAATCCCAGGCCTAATCAATGCGGGTGAGTTTGATGGCCCCAAAGATGTCTACATTCTAATTCCTGGCCCCTGTGACTATGTCACCTTACATGACAGGAGAGCATTTGCAGGCAACCTCTAGCAGCTGGAAAAGGCAAAGCCATGGACTCTCCCCTAGAGCCTCCGGAGGGCATGCAGACGGATGGAAGCATTTAGACGGCAGACACCGTGGACTGTAAAACAATAGACTTGTATTGTTCTGGCCATTCGGCTGTGGGAATCTGTTAGAGTAGCCGTAGGAAATTAATATACCAGTCAAACCAGTTAGTCTGGAAATCAGTGTGGGAGAGAATAGAGACCCCAGATGATTCCAGATGTCCTGGGAGGCTCCCCGTGATCCTTTGTATTGAACCCCCAAAGGATTTCCCCAGAGAGGTTTACACCCTTTAGTTGGGCAGTTTTTGTAATTTTCTCTATCTTCCCAGGTCCCCAGAGATCATCCTAGAATTGGATTCATATTCTGGGGCCCAAATGATCAACCTTGGGAGGGAATCCACAGCAGCAAGGCTCCTGTGTGCCACTGCATTGAAGGCCTGTGCTCAGAGAGAAAGACCCCCCCCCCCTCCCCACTGCCACTCTCTAGAACAGACCAGAAGGCCCCCTGTGGCCTCAGTCACTATACAAACCTCATGTACAACATCCAAGAAAAACTTTAAAGGACTATATCCACACAGTCCTTCAAGAGTGCACACTCCCCCAATCCACAGTTTAAGCAAGAAAGCCGTTCACCAGTTGTCGTCAACCTGAGACTCTAAGTACCACGGAGAGACCTTCCCCAGGAGAGCGCACCTCTGACGGCCACTGGCAAGGGGAACCTGCCTGCCAAGGAGACCAGCAGCAAGAAGGAGGCTCTGCACTGACAGTTAGTCCATCCTGTCGACTTGGCTCAGATCTCCCCAGTGGTGAAATTGGGGTGTCCTGAGAGGTAAAATTAGGGCGGGTTCAGGAAGGACTAAGCACAAGATCTGAACAGGAGTCTAAAATGACTGGCTTCCCTCTTTTTCATCCTTCCTTCCCACCCTTGACAGACACACGGAATAACATTTGTTTCTGCATCTACCAATAGATCTGATACCCGGCACTGAGTACGGATTTGGAATATCTGCTGTCATGGACTCACAGCAAAGCATACCAGCCACCATGAACGCAAGGACAGGTGAGTAGGAATTGGTACAGAATGAGACCAGGCCCCTGTAATCCCAAGGGGCCACGAGGTTTGTCCTGGCAAAGATTGGTGAGAGGCAGTGCTCCCCCATGAGTAGGTCCCTGGGCAACAGCTGTCAGCCTGAAAACGACCACCTCCTGAAACTCTTTGATTCCCTGTGCCTCCCCCTGACATCCAGGATGGAGTACAGGTCTGTGCATGGCCCTCTGTGGTCTAAGGAACGGTCCAGAGCAGAAGTGGAAAATTCCAAATAAGTCGGCACCACAGTAGACAGAATGTGGTATCCGTTAATGTACTACAGAAGCCCTCAGAAAGACCAGGGGTTGAAGGTCTAGACTTTGAAATAACCCATGAAATCTAAGGGCAATGGAAAAGTCCACACGAGATCCTTACTACTCTCCATCCAGAGCTTTTACTTCCAAGTCCCGGGTAAACTTCAGAGTCTCTCTAGTACCTTAGGTACAAACCGTGGGCTGAGCATAGACAATCTCTCTAGAGAACCACGTGGGTCACCAGGAGGCCTCCGATCTAGTTGCCTGCACACCCATGGCCATGTCAGTCAAAATGGCCTCAGGAACAGAGGTGGCCACTGTTGCTAGGAATGGCACAGCCCTACCTGTGGCTCCTGTCTTGCTCTGATCAGCTTATTAAGAAAGGCTGGGAGACAATGAATTTGCGGAGCTTGAAAATCAGCAGCCAGCTGATAATGCCCTTCTTCAATCTGTTTGCCAAGCCCCCAGCCATCTTTCAAAGGGAAGGTGCCTAACAAAATGTGAGCTAAGTGTCAGCAAGGACAAGCTATCCTCATGGTCGGCAGGACTGCTGATAGTATAGAAATCCACAGTGGGGTCGGGATGATTCCAATAAATACTGGCCCTCCTGTGTGAAATCAGCTTCTTATGTTTATCCTCAGAACTTGACAGTCCAAGAGACCTTATGGTGACAGCCTCCTCTGAGACCTCCATCTCCCTCATCTGGACCAAGGCCAGTGGCCCTATTGACCACTACCGAATTACCTTTACCCCATCCTCTGGGATCGCCTCAGAAGTCACTGTGCCCAAGGACAGGACCTGGTACACACTGACTGATCTAGAGCCTGGGGCAGAGTACATCATTTCCATCACCGCTGAGAGGGGTCGGCAGCAGAGCTTGGAGTCCACCGTGGATGCCTTCACAGGTACCAGGGCGGCAGCAGCCCAGCTGCACTCAGGGATCCACGGGCCTTAGTGTGAGCAGGTAGCCCAGGCAGAATGTGGGTAGAGAAAGAACAGGTAGAGGAGACACTAATAAATCGTCAAGAGGGAATGGTTTGAAGTCAAGGGGAGAGGTGAGCAAAGCCACCTGGATGCCTAAAAATTTGTGTCTGATTTCGTAGCCCAGACAGAGGGGCTGATCTCTTTCCTCACCTGCACTAAATCAGTGGGTGACCAGAAGACCCCATGGGATCATGTTAAATCCCTGCCAGGATCGAGGTTTTAAATCCTGGATCTTATTATGAATAACTCACAGAGGTAATGCCGGTCTACCCTTCATTTTTCGGTATAGGCTTGGAGAAAGGAGCGTGGACAGGACTGGAGCTGGTGGAGGTGGAACCTCTGGCTCAGCGGGAAAAGGCGTGGTCCTTATTAGCAAGGAAAGCACATCCCTTTGGTCAGATAGCTCCTCTAGCCAGGTGGCCCCCCTACCTCACCTGTGTTTCAGAACCGCCCATCTCTCTGCTTTGCAGGCTTCCGCCCCATCTCGCATTTGCACTTTTCTCACGTGACCTCCTCCAGCGTAAACATCACCTGGAGTGACCCATCCCCTCCAGCAGACAGACTCATCCTGAACTACAGCCCCCGGGATGAAGAGGAAGAGATGACAGAGGTCTCCCTGGATGCCACCAAGAGGCACGCTGTCCTGATGGGCCTGCAGCCGGCCACTGAGTACATTGTGAACCTGGTGGCCGTCCATGGCACGGTGACCTCTGAGCCCATCGTGGGCTCCATCACCACAGGTGAGGCTGCAGGACTTGACAGAAGGTGGGGACAGTAGCCTTTGACAAGTTAACAAAATTTACCAAGTGAAACACCCAAGGAGCAGGAGACCGCCTCATCCGGCTAAAGAGGGTCTGTGAGCTGTTGTGGAAAAGCCACTTCTTCCGTAGTTACATACAATGCAAAGATGGGAAACTCCAATTTGAAGGTAGGATGGGCCCAATGTCTTGCGGAGGCCAAGGCTTAAATGTATTGGTCCAGAGGTCCTCCCTCTAGCAGCCTAGGACAAAGCTCTAGAGAGAGCTAGTCTGCAAGAAGAAAACCTTCTGCAGTAAGGAGATACCTGTTTCTATTCTGGAGAGCCATCTCTTAACTGCTCATTGATGCAAATGATGCTTCCCCAGAATCAGATGGGACTAGCATTCAACCATGTAGGGCCCTGGTACTCAGAGAACAGGGTTGATTTTCATGTTGTTAGGAAAACACGGGCACTCCGAGATGGATTGGATCATTCTCATCTCATCATTCCCAAATACAGTCCCAAATATTAGTGTGAACATGGGTGAGGACATGTGTGTTGGGTAGTTTGCTACATGCTGACAAGAACTCACAACTGGACAAGTGGATTCAACACACCTGGTTTCCATCCAGCAGTTAAAACATTAAAGTGCACAGTAAAAATGAAATAGAGTTTAGCAAAGTGGATTTTCTCTGAAATCCCTCTCCAGTCAATAGGCATTTTTTTCCAAATTGAATCAAAATTGGCTGCTAAAAAAATAAGGGATAGAGACTGACAGAGCTGGTTTGCCCAAGAGAAAATAGCCATGTTATTTCTAGTTTAAAACAAAGCATACAAACAAAGGAAGCTTCCCAGTTGGCCTTCAAGTAGGTGATAGTTGCTGCACAGGCACAGACCTTGCCAGCTTGACTTTATGTCATTAAAACACCCTCCACGAATGTGGCTTGGGCCACGCCCATGAGGCTGCAGGTGAGACTTCAGCCTGACCATGGTGTTAAGGGTGCCCTACCACTCAGTATGGTCTGGGACACCATTAGCTCTTGGCCCACATAAAACCAGGGAGAGGAATTCGTTTTTCACACTGTGCTTTCTGTCTTTTTCCCACAACCACCGGCTTCCTTATAGGAATTGATCCCCCCAAAGACATCACAATTAGCAATGTGACCAAGGACTCAGTTGTGGTCTCCTGGAGCCCTCCTGTCGCATCTTTTGATTACTACCGAGTATCATACCGGCCAACCCAAGGTAATAAAGCCATTCCATTTCTCGGAGACGAATGGGATTCGGTTCTGGGAGAAGTAGCGTGTCCCAGAGGCTGTCACCCGGCTTGCATTGCCCTCCTCTCTGTGGCATCAGAACGAGAGTGGGTGGGTGAGGAGCAGCCCAAGGCCCTGCACTCACCAGCTCCTTTCCTAAAAGGTGGGACTGCATTCATCTAGAAAGCAGGCCCGTCACCAGCAGAGCAACTGCTCCCTGTTACCCGGGCAGTGGGCAGTGCAGTGAGGCATAGAGAGCCCTGAAAGAATCTGCCAGGAGCCGGGGTCATGTGCACTCCCGAGAGAGTGAAGTCTAAGACTAGAGCCCTGGGGGATGTGTGAAGACCCAGCAGAACCAGATGGGAGCTTGGAGGGAACCACAGTGACAGTGGCCCTATTTCTAGCCAAGCTATGAGTCAGAGGAAGTTGGCCCAGACCTCGCTTGTATCCTGCCAGTTCTAACTGGTGCATGTGGCATTGGCGGAGGACACACTCACTTCCCGGGAGGGGATGGGGTCGTGTTCCAGGTCTGCAGGACCCACCCTTTTCGGCCAGTCCCTCTGTACTGCCTTTATAAAGACCAGCGTGCTAGAAAACCACCTAATAGTTCTTTTTCCTCTGCTCCGGGGAGCCTATAAAATGAGGGGGTGGAGCCAGCATGCAGGGTCTCTAAGCTCCAACATTCCCAGTTCATGAACCTTCTCTCCCACTGAATGCTGAGCCTTTCACCATCAGTGCTTCCTGAACAAGTGCTGCTGGGAGCTCCTATGTAGACTGGACCGTGAACTATGTTGATGAGTGATTCTGCTGAGAGTTAATTATGACTTCTGCTCTTCCTTAGTGGGGCGGCTGGACAGCTCAGTGGTGCCCAACACTGTGACAGAATTCACCATCACCAAGTTGTATCCAGCTACCGAATACGAAATCAGCCTTAACAGCGTGCGGGGCAGAGAGGAGAGTGAGCGTGTCTGCACTCTCATGCACACAGGTAGGCCTGTCTCCCTGGTGTGGGCCAAGTCAGAACCTGACTGAGAACCTGCAGCAAACAGAAGAGGCAAAGCGTGAAGGTGTTCTGGCTGATTCAGAGGTTCCATTCCTGGGCGCCCCTCTGACTTCTGCGTCACGCAAAGCAATTTGCAACTTCTCTCTTCCCCGAGAGTCCTCTCTCCTCCTGACCCCCTAGGGGTCATGCAGGTCTAGGTCAGGAACTTCCTATTTGAAATGTGGCCTTTCAAAGAGCCACAATGGAAGTGAATTTCAGAACAGACATCTGAATCATGTCATCTAATTTTTTAAACAGCTCAAGAAAATTGCACCTCAGAGAAGGAAGGGGTTTGTTATTCCAGTAACAACCCGTGGGGTCATGGAACCCCTCATCAAATATGGCCACAACCACCAAGGAGCTGCTCCAGGGATGGAGGAAGAAGGTGGTGGCCTCCTCTGCCCCTTAGCCAGCCCACCTTGAAGATAGGACAGACTTGCTGTAGAAGACACCAGTGGGGACAGCCAAAGCTTTCTGTCCCTAAGCCCTGATAACCTGACCCGCCCCCCACTTAAGCTTTCGTCCCCCCAGTCCATGGGAAAGCATCCTTAGGGGAACACCTGGATTTCCCTCAGAGAACAGTATTTTCTGAGCGAAGGAATGTAACTTGGAGTTCCTCACTGCTTCTATAGATACTCGAACAAGTACAGAAACAGCACCTCTAAGGCCATGGCCAAAGAAACATCCCTTCAGAAACTCAGAATCATTCTTCTAAAGACATCCCAGAATATCCTAATCCCCCTGGTCTCCTTCCAGGCCTGTGACTGCAGAAAACCCAGCCATGTTTTGGGTTCAGCCTTACCCCTTCCACTAAATTATCTGTGACCAATAAAATATCAAGAAATATTGACCTGAAGTGATACCCAGTGGGTCAATAGAAGCCCCCTTCACACCTTCCTGAAAGTCTTAGAAATTCATGATAAAGTAGGCTCCTTCTCACTGAGGACAACTAAATGGATTTTAAGAGTTTCCAACCCCCAACGTAAAAGAGAGGAGAAACTTAAGTCAAAAAACTCATTCCTCAGCATTTCTTAACACATTTCGTACCGCTCAGGAGTTTTCTCGTGTTTCGCCCGCCATCTGTTAAGGACCGCCCTTGAGTGTTGTCGTTTTTCACGCCCATGAAAAAAGGAGCGAATCTAGATACTTATGTAAATTTTGTTTGGTCCCTCTTCATAGAGGAAAATGTTTTACGCAGTACCATACATTAAAAAAGTACTAGGAACTTTAATTGTTTAATTGTTTTTGTAAATAAAAATGTTATAATTATTGAAAAACAACACCTAAAGTGCATTATGATGATTTAAATAACGTGCAGTTTGCCCAAAAACGTGCGGTCCCTGGCGTATGTCTTAGAGATTTCTATGCGGTACGCAATGTGTTAACAGTGCACCAACCCAAACCACCCTCCTTCAAGTTCAGGCAGCACTATTTTGCAAACTTCCAATACCCAGATTGTTGTCATTTGTTGTTTTAACACGAGGTCTATGATTTTACAAGTTTTGGAAATGAGTATTCCTTCAGGGTCTCAGGCTTCAGCTCAGAGAGATCAAACTGATCAGTGTCATAAGACTTTTCTTTTATTCACATAAAGTTCCGTTTGAAGAAGTCACTGAAGGCCCAGATTAGGGATACAATTCAGATGTTAAAATTATAAAAAAAAAATTTCTTGCTGTTGCTTTGAAATGAGGGACATAGGCAAGCAATAAAAACCTTTGATTAGAGAACAGAACCAGATGAGCAGCACATCATGGCCCTCAAAAGTAAATTACTTGTCAAGGGCGGGGAAAATAAAAGGAGACATATGTAATACTCTTTGTAATACTTTAAGCAATAAAACAATAAAAAAAGTAAATTACATGACATTAAGTTTGAGCTGATACCTAAACTATTGTAATAACATCCATTTCTAAAATAATCCCAAGTTTGGGGAAGGGAGACGTAGAGTATGGACAAATTAGAATAGGAATGTGGTCCTATAACAGCAGACCTGGTTCCCCAACAGGCATTCTTGGGAGAATCTCCTTGTCTCTCATTCACAAAAAGGATAGCAGGACCGAGTACAGAGTGAGCCTTGTGAGTAGAAAAGCAAGAATACATAGTCGGATAGGACTTCAGAGGTAACCTCACTCCCATTCAGTCATTGCACAAGTGTTTACTGAAACTCTACTAAGTTTTAGGAGCTGGAGCTACTCTGCCTCCTTGGAGCTCCCACCACATTCAACAGAGATCACGTCACAAGCCAAGCCCTTACATCTATGAAAGTGCAAATAGCCTGGAAGCATAGTCTCCTCTTCACTAAAGAGTTAGAACAACTTCTATATGTTCTCAGTTTTGCCATCTAGCTTGAAACGCCTAAGACACACGGCCATACCTTGGGACCCCCCACAGGACCTGACAAGCACTCTGCACATAAGTCAGTTAATTCAGAGGAAGATCTGGGGAGAAGAGGAAGGGGCTGATGTAACGAACCAGGAGGGGAGAAAGGAGCATGGTCTCCACTCCACTGTTTTGTAAGGCACAGCAGCAGAGGTGCATTGTGGGTGACAGTATGGGAGACCCTGTGGGTGGAACTACAGGGGACCATTCACGGGACCAGCCTGTAGCTGCTCCTACTTTCCCTGCTGTTCTATTCTGTTGCAGCCATGGACAACCCGGTGGATCTGATTGCTACCAACATCACTCCGACGGGAGCCCTGCTGCAGTGGAAGGCGCCTGTGGGCGAAGTGGAGAGCTACGTCATTGTCCTCACACGCTTCTCAGGTGGGTGTCTGCAGGTCTGCACCTCAGACAGGTAGGCATGGCGGGGATTGGGGCAGAATATAGTATGAAGGTTTAAAAAAAAGGCATATTGTTTATCTGAGGGACAAATTAGAGATTTCCTGCCCTCAAGATGTCCCCAAACTCTATCTACTATGGGAATTGAGAGAGCAGGATCTGAAAGGCCTGAGAAGGGCACATAACCAGGGGCAAATACAAAACTGGAGAAATCGCATTAGGAAGATAAACTAAGAATTTAGCTAAGACTTACCCCAAAACGCTATGAGCAAGAAAGCAGACTTTTCTAGATATTTAAAGAACAAGAAAAACACTAGTTATAGGACCATGCTCAGAGCAGATAATACATAACAGTGACAAAGGACCAAGAACTAATAAACTCTCCTGTTGCTTTGGTCTTCTCTATCCACGTGCAGCCCAAAATCGGAGTTTCAGTGTCTTCTTCACCATGCTTGTTCACCTTATGCTATTTGAATAGTGAAGCCCAAACCAAAATAGTGTTGAGTAGTCCAGGTCTCTAGGCCTACAGAAATTATTTCCCTGCCCATATTACATATGTACATATGTGATCACAGAATTGTTGTGGGTTATCTTCAGGAATCCAGAGAACAAAGATATCAGAAGACAGAAGTCAGGCAGATGTCTTAATTTTCAAAATTAAGAGAAATTTTTTTAAAAAGACACTGACAACAGTATGATGATTGCCAAATAGAAAGGGGTTTGGGGAGAGAAAGAAGAGGGTAAAGGAGAGATAAATGGTCACAGAAGACTTGACTTTGGGTGGTGAATGCACAATGCAATATACAATGTTACAGAGTTGTACACTTGAAACCTATATTATTTTATTAACCAATGTCACTCCAATAAATGCAATTAAAAATAAATGAATTTTAAGAAAATTATGAGAAAGCCAAGTCTGTAAGCTACAAAGAAATACTAGTACACTGATTGTCAAAACTTGGGAAAGTAGAAACCAAAATAGATTATTATACAAAAGGGAAAAAGAATTAATGATAACTTCCATACCAGCACAGGTTCCCTAGGAATAAGTTTTTCCAAAACTACTTTATGTTCTTGTTTTTTATTGGAAAATCTTCTAGCACCTTCAGCAAGGCATTAGAAAAACCCACTTATCACTTAGATGGACAATACACAATGGATCATATACAGAGTTGCAGAGAACTGTAGCTGATTGAATGCCCCTCCTCAGAGAATGAACACCTTTCCTGTGGCTACATCCTAACCCCTCTGCACACACTCACAGTCCATTTCAGTCCTCCCATGCCTCCTTGCCCTTCACGATCCTGCATTTCTTACCTCTCACCATGCCTTCTCAAGCCACCACGCATTTGTACGTGCTGCTTCCTCCACCAGGAAATTCTCTCCCCACTTGTCTGCCCAGTAAACCCATCCTTCACCACCATCCCTTTGTCAAAGCTGCCATTATTCCCCTAAGAGAGTCAGGTGCACTGACTCACAGGTACTAAAGTACACAACTCCATCGCAATAGCTAGCATTCATTCATTCAACAAATCCTTTTGATGCTATTCCATGTGCCATCCCCCTACTAGGCTATAAGGATTCAGAGATAAAACACACAGATTCACAGAACTCACACCTAGTGATGGTGCAGACAGGTGAGCAGTGTCACAACATAGGCCAGCACAAAACACCTTGGGCCACATCCATGGCCACTGACTGGGATCCCAGTGTTGAGGGGGAGAAAGGAGGCAGATCTTAGGTAAAGAAAGAGAATAGGAGGAAAGAGGGAACTCAAGAACAAGAGCAGCCTGTGCATTTGCAGAGATAGGAGAGACCACAGAGAGTTTGAGCTGCCAGTTTGTGTGGCTGGGGCACTGACCAATGGCAGGTGTTGCATTTGTATGCTCTTCCCAAGGGTTCGTTTAGATTTTGACTTATTCGCATGCCTTTAGACCATGGAAAACTTGCCGCCTCAGGTCCCACTTACCTAGTGTGAAGAAGTGTCTAGTGAACTTGGTTCAATGCTGAGTGACTCAGGAGTATTCTAAAGGCACAGGAGCGGGCCTGGCCCTGGTCTAATGACCAGTTTTATCAACAGCTTGAATGGATACAGAGAAGGCATGCTTACCAAGTTTGCATATAAAACAACTGTGATGGGTAGAATCCAAACTCAAATATATTTTAATGAACTGAAACAGTGGTCCAAAACTCAAGCAACAAGGCAAAAGGCGATAGAAATCAATGCACAAAATCCACTACCCACAGTTGGGTTGGAGGCACTTATGAATAAGGTCTTTGATTAGTAATACTCTTTGCTTGTGACAGCCTTACGAGACTGTCTCAAACCTAATGGATTCACAGACTTGGCACAAATAAAAGCTAACATTGATCCTATTTGTTTCATTGGTTAGTACAGCTCAATCATTGTTCTCAGTTCTCTCCTGAGTCTTGCTTTTTAGCAGGGACACTGGTAAACTGTTACCTGTCTAGAGAAAGGAAGCCAGCACTGTGGCAGTTTTAGAATTCTCATTCAGGTAATGAGGGCGGGGAAGAAGCGGTCAAGTAGACAAAGAGTTCAGCTTATTCTTTGTAACTCCAGAGTCCTGAGTATCAGTTACAAAAGAAGACAGTTCAGCTTCCAAATAAGGAATATTTTTCTCAATTAAGATGTAAAACAACATAAGAGGGGATGCTTATATGGAATAAAATGTCAAACTAAATAACCTCTGAATGATGTTTTTTTCCCCAAAAACCTATCCAATATGGAATTCTGGCGAAATGCCTTTGGACTTGGGAAGTCTTTCTTTGTTCAATCCCTGTCCATGTCCATCTGGTTTCAGTTGCTGGAGAGACCATCCTGGTTGATGGAGACAGTGAGGAGTTCCTGCTCACTGACCTGCTCCCTCGCACCCACTACACTATCAGCATGCATGCCACCAGCGGGCCTCTCACCAGTGGCACCATCAGCACCAACTTCTCCACACGTGAGTACATGGTCAGCCACATGGCCGGCGCCCGGAGGCTCCTGTGGGTGCTGAGGATGCTCAGTCTCCGTGTGGTGGGCTGGATTAGTCTACAGCTCTTAGAGCAGCAATGAGCTGTCCTTACTTTAGTTGACTGCAGCCCAAACGCCAATGAAAGTCAGTGGAGTCAGCAGACACACGTCTACTTTCTGCCTTGACTTGGGTCTGGTGACAGCAGTAGAACCTGGCCAAGAGGGGCTAGTCCTGGAAATGCATCTGGCCAGAGAGTCTGCGGGACATTAAAGGGCTTGATGTTGGGGAGAGAGTTGCTGGATATAGTCGTGGCCAGGGGAACAGTAGACAAAGCTATAGATGTGAGAGTGTTATAAGTTCAAGAGTAAACCACAGACATGCAGGTGCAGCAAGGTCATGAATTCAGACAGAGGGTCAGATTGGAAGATGTCCCCCCAGGCCCAGAGGCCCGGGTGAGGGGAGTGGGGAATAGCTGTCAGAATGCTTATGACCCTAAAGGATCACCTTGTGACTGGGGGGCCCTTCCTGCTCCTGTCCAAGCGAGAACTGAGGTCAGCATGTGAGCAGCCCAGAGACCACACAGGTGGGCAAACAGATACATGTGCCTGGAATCAAATGGGCAGGCGCTCCCGGCATTTTCTCCTCTTTGCAGTACTGGACCCTCCTGCAAACCTGACTGCCAGTGAGGTCACCAGACAGAGTGCCCTGATCTCCTGGCAGCCTCCCAGAGCCGAGGTCGAGAAGTACGTCCTGACCTACAAATCCACTGACGGAAGCCGCAAGGTGAGAGTCGACTGAGGGGGAGGACCATTTCTATCAGGCAATCCACAGGAGCAAACTGGGTTTTCCCTGATGGACACATGGCCTGCTGCTGAGGAAGGAGCCCCAGTCTGCAAGTCAGAGATCTGGGTGCTAATCCTGGCTCTGTACAAAGGCAAACACTAACCCTCTCTGAGTGCCGGCTTCTTCCCTAGACAATGGGGGTGTCTGCCTCTGCGGCTTCACTCAGCTGTGCCAGTGCCTCCAACATGATGAAGCAAAGTGCGCTGGAAACTTCCAAGCTGCTATCAGTACGTGGAACTGGAAGGGCCTTTCACTAGCAGGGCCGAGCACACATGAGCTGGATGCCAAACTCAGCAGCCTCTTATGCCTCCTGATAAGCACTAGAAAGGCCACATGGACACAGCCTACTGCAAAGAGATGACAAATCTCTGCTTTATGTCATCGCTTGAAACAATCCATCTAAAGCGCAGGCTGTCATACTTGGTTAGCAGTGGAGGGCTTTTTTAGAGTAAAATCCTATCAGGAAGCTTGAACATGCGGAACAGATTGAGCAGCGCTTGTCTGTTGCATGTGGAGCAGGGAGTCCTAGGGTTCTGCTTCCTCAGTCCAAGAGGAGGCCCAGTGCAATCCGAAAAGCACCAATTCAACCATCCAGGTGCCGACATTTACCCCAGCATGCCCCTGGGAGGCAGGAGCTGTCCTCTCTGCTTATTGGCTCTGTTTTCTGCTTATTGTGGGGTGGAGAGGATGACAATGCAATGGCCACTGCAGTACTGACCTAGCTAACCATGGGATGCGGACTTGCCTTCCCCACACCCCTCGTTGCGAGCCGGTCCCTCCCTCCCGTCACCCTTCCTCCGGCTCATTCCGCAGGAGCTGATCGTGGATGCAGAGGACACGTGGATCCGGTTGGAGGGCCTGTCTGAGAGCACAGACTACACCGTGCTCCTGCAGGCAGCCCAGGATGCTGAGAGGAGCAGCCTCACCTCCACCGCCTTCACCACAGGTGAGTGATGGGCTGCCACTTTCCTGCCGCCTTCTCCCCTGTGTGACCTCAGGCCCCTTGGCAGGAGCCTCTGCCGAGGAGACTGGGCCAAGGAGGAGGCCAGCAAAGAAACTCAGTTGCCTCCTCCGCTTCCTGCCAGGAAACCTCTCACTACCAACACAACCAGAGGGACCACAGTGCATCTCCCTGGTCCACCTGGACCAACTCAACGCACCGAGTAAAGACATCAGGTTCCTGTTCAGATTTTCCGTCGGTGTTTTTCCAGCAGAGTTTGTTCTTCCCCCTTCCCCTGCCGCCTGTAATCAGAGATCCACCCATAAAGGAAGTAGTAGTGAACCCTCACTATTAAACCTGTGGTTCTTCTCCACACACAAAGCACTTTGCATTCTTAAGGTCACAATACAGTCCTTACAACAACTGGGGAGGAGGGCCTTCTCGGACCCGTTTCATAGGTGCATGGACATCAGATGACTTCCATGCTAGTAAGCAGCTGGTTCTGAACTTGAACCAAGGTCTCCTTCTAAATTCAGCTGGTCCTCCTGCCTTCCCCATCCAAGCATCAGCAGATGATACTTGAAAATGTCCTTTAAGGATAGGAGTGTCCTAATGTGTGCAAGGGGAACTAATATCTAACCTCTGAGGGCTGTGACAGGCACTGTTCCAACTGCATTGCATGTGTGACCTAATGTCATCCTCAGGACAGCCTGTGCAGTGTGTTCTATTACCCCTGTTGACAGATGAGGAAATGGGGCCACAGGGAGGGGAGGTAACTCCCCCAAGAACCCACAGCTCTTCAGTAGGACAGCTGGGATTTGACCCCAGTTGTTCTGTCTCTGGAGTCTGTGCTGTTATCAATCCTTTCTGTCACTTCCCATGGTGCCTCTCTCTACTGTCTGTAACATGGGACCACTCAGTCTGGACTTTGAATTCTCTCCCTGCCCCACATTCTGGGGTGTGGCTGTGCCCCTGTGTGGGGCAAGTGTGGACCTGCCCCTTACCCCTAGATGCATGTCTGCCTGCCATCTCAGAGCACCAGGGCGACGGATTCATGCCCAGGCCCCAGAGCCCAATCCCTAACCCCAGAGAAGTGATGGAAAGTCCTCCATCCTCCCAGAGGCCTCCCCCACCAGACTTGCTCTAAATGACAAAGCAGGACACTAGATCCAACACACCAACTGTCACCAGTGGCTCTTTAGGATAGTGAGTTGTGAATGAGTCCTCTCTTTCCTTCTTTTTTATACTTTTCAATCTTACAATGTGCCTACAATGAGCACATTAATCAGAAAAACTTTTGATTAGAAAATAATAGAACACACCTCACAGGCTGTCCTGAGGATGACATTAGATCACACATGCAATAAAAATAAACCTTGGTTTCACAACCAAGACATGAATCCAAAATGTGTCCTCCCCAACTAGAAACTAGAGGACACCTCATCTCTTTTGTGCGGCTGAAGTCAACTATACTCTCCCCCCTGCCCCTTCAAGGCAGTTCTGTCTCAGAACCAAGGTGCTACCTCTTCTTGTTCAAGCCCTTCCCTGCTCATTGACAGCTTAAAGGGTCCTCCAAGCTCCTCTTTTCCAAGCTACCACCAAGAGGCCCTGGATTGGAACTTTACATTTAATTAAGAATTTCTTTCCCGTAAAAAGGACACGGATGACAGAAACATAAACAGAGCCCCCAAATGCAAAGTTCCCTGAATAAATTACAGTAAACCTGCACGGTCAATTGAATGTCAGTATTAATGCGTCCTCACTGCCTTGCCACGCCACCCCATCAGAACCCTCACTTACACCCCCACACACCAGAGGCCACACAGTGTACCCCGTAGGCTCCATATGTGGGCTCCTATTTCGAACGAAGGAGGGGGAGAAAGAAGGAGGATGAGGAGAAGGGAGAAAGAGGAAGAGGAGGAGGAGAAGCAAAGAGCAGGGCATTGCGCTTACTGGGAAGACTGGAGCGCTGCCAGTCTGAGGCCCATGAATTGCTCCTGCTGAGGAACCTCAGAGCTTCCTCTATGGTGGCAACCAGGGCTGATGGATTCAGAGGCTAATTTCAGTCTAGCGACCAGCATCCATTCTGACTTCATTGACAGTACCTGAGCTTTCCACCTAGCATCACCCTATTCTTAGGATGCTGGTCTCAGCCGATCATTCTAAGCACTTTTTATGCCTTATCTTATGGAATGAAAGCACTTAAACTTAGATCCCTAAGTGGCCTCCATCCACTGACAAATTCACATCTTGTCCTGGGTGGGCCAAGAAAAGAGACTCATTTCAAACAGATGACTCCTTAATGGGTTGGAAAAGAGTTGAGGTGTTAAAAATATAAAATTAAAATAAGAGAGAGAGAAAAGATTGGCTTCTGCAAAGCCTCCTTTGACCAAGATGTCTTCCCTGTTCGCATGCCTGCCTTAGAACATAAGCCCATCTCATTCTAACAATCACATTAATAGCTTCCTGTCCTCTTGTCCCCGGTGTTTGCACAAAACTCCAAGGAGAATTTAATAGAAGTAGAACAGAAGAGAAAAATATGGATCTATTATTTATAATTTACTGTCGCCTGAAATTTCATCCAAGGTCTACTTGTCTTTTGGAGACACGAATATAAATGAGAAAACAAAGACTCCCGCAGAGCAACAGAGACTGGGCAACGTGATCTCCTGAGAGGAGTTCTCATTGTCTCTTTTAATCCTGTAAGCGGCAAACAAGGCGCTCGCTGAAGCTGTCCTCACAGGCAGTGAACACTATAAAATAGGCTGTCTTAACCTGAAGGTTAAGCGGAGACAATCATTTGCGGAGGTTCCCAGAGGTGGGGAATGAGAAGTTTTCTTTATTGCCTTTGCTCCGTGCCTGCGATCCCACATCCAGGCCGAGCTGATCTCTGGGGCTTTTTAGGGAAACTCGAGAATCTATTCTAACACAAGCTTCCGTTTGGGAAGTTGTGAAAATAAGTGAAGATTGGCCAACCCTGGGTTCTGGGACGGCAGATGGTGGGCCATACAAATCCGAAGAGTTATCAGTTAATAGTACCACTGAGGTTGTCTGTTTCATCTTGGGTGACTCTCAGTAGGCGATGATTTTCAAGGAATTGGTCCATGTCCCTGAATTTACTTAGAGTTGTCTATACTACTCAATTGGTCCCTCCATAGGGAGAGCAGTGAATGTGGTCAAGCAGTAATGCCACCTGCCATAGGGCCTTGAATGTCACTATATACAAAATTTGATCTGGCCCATTTTTAGCCATGCTGTCCCAAATGTTCTCAGAAAAGCTAATTTCCATTTCCCTTTTCATAATCATAGGAAGGAAAATAGTGTCCACATGGTATCTTACATTTAACAAATATTGAATGAACCTTCACAGTGGGTTACACACTATACTAAACACTTCAAGGGCATGAGGCAGTGGGGAACAGACAAAAGGAGGACATGGGGTAATTTCAAGTAGTGGTGAGACCATAAAAAACAAACAGAGTAATGGACTAGGGACCGATGTGAAGAGCTAATTTCCAGGACGGCTCCTGTACTAGAAAGGCTTTCCTGATGGTCACTTGCCACTTCCTTCCCTCAGCCCCAGCCCCTGGCCTCAGCTAGGATGTCAGGCCATTTGAGCCAGGACATGAAAGATGAGAGTGAATCAGACAAGGAGGAGAATTCGGGCTGAGGGAAGAGCGATGTCTACACCCAGCGGGAGGAATGAGTTTGGCATGTTCCGAAGCCTAAAAGAAAGCCAGTGGTAAAGGGAAAGGAGGACCAGGCAGGGCCGGAGCCTGCAGGTCCTGTGGGTCGTGGGGAGGCCCTGGGGTTGTATTCTAATTGCAAGAAGCCATCACGTCGGAGAAGCCATTGGGAGGTTGTTGGCACGTGAGAGACAGAGATCACATTATACTACAGAAAGGTCACTCTGGTTCAATATGAAAATGGATGCAGGTAGGGCCAGAAAGGCAGGAAGAGACCAGGGAAGTGGCATTACCATGACCCGACCCAACCCTCCCCTTGCCATGCTGAAGCAAGAGACACAGACACCAGGCTGGCAGCTGCCAGTCTATGATCAACTAATCTGCCATGGCAGTGGGTCTCCTGATATAAGTGAGTCCCAGGAATAGTAAGGCAGATTATGTCAGAACGTTTCTCTACTGTTAGGGTGCCTTTAGCTGGTCTTCAAAGGGGAGACTTAGAAGACTGATGGGTAGAAAGTGGGTGGTCTGTAAAGCTTGAGGACCTTCCTCAGTGACTCTGTGTACAAGGAAGACATCCAAGCTGGCTATGACTCAGTTGATTCTCTGTTCCCATCACCTCCTCAGAGTCTATTGCCACCTCTCCTCTTGGATTCCCGCTACTACCTCCTAAACGAGCCTTACCTCCAGTCTCACCCCCATCTCATTCATTCTCACCCCCATCTCATTCACAATGAGAACAAGCTTTCTAAAAACTTGAGCTTGAAGTCCATTGCTGGAATCTTCAGCCTCTTGCCTTCAGGAGAAGGTTCAACTCTTTAAGTGGCATAATCCAGTCCCCACTTACCTCCCCAAGGCTCTCCCTCACCCATCCAACCCCACCCTTGCTCTGTCTCCTGGCTGACCCTGCGGTTTCCCAAAATAGGCTATGCACTTTCATTGGCCGGAAACACCCTTCCCTACCAATTTGTGGCTTACTTCTATATCCATCAGTTCCTAAACTAAGAAGCCCTTTCTGATTAGCACCTGCCAATCCCTACACCGTCCCAGGCCCCACCGCTCACCTTACCCCCACCAGCCCCAGGCTTCATGGCATGCTCACTCCCGAGTTTTGATGGCTCCCTGTGTTTATCTCTTTCCAGAGCACATAGAATTTGGGATTATGTTTGTATGTTTCTCCCACCAGAGTGTGAGCAACCTTAAAGATGGGACCATATATTTTTCTCTTTTATATTTCCATCTCTTTCTTAACCCACTATTTAGAACCCAACAGACACTTCCTATATGTTTTTTTAAATAAATGCATAAAAGAATAAATAGGTAAATGAGTTAGAAGATGCTCTCAAGGTGGCTAAGGTGGTAGGTTTGACAGCCTGTGTGGGCTGACCAGGTAACTTGGCTCTTCCCACAAACCCACTTCTGGGGAAAAGACACCTACTAGTAAGTTCCGGTGGCCAGAGGCGGTCCCTGCGCTGCTGTGGAGCCGCACACCCTGCTCTGCTGGGTCTGTTCTCAGAGAGAATTGCCAACATCTCGCTTTGGTCCTGATGCTACAGCCGTAAGGACAGGCAGTGGACAGACACTCTCCAAAGCCACTAACTCAGACCACTTTAGACACTGTATCCAGGAACCCCCTACACGGAAGGGACAGGGAAGGGACCGGAAAGGTCTCTTCCTTTACTCCCAGCCGCTGGAGCTGTCTGATTGCTCTGTGCATCACGTAGCTCACCTCACTCCACTCGCAGCCAGCCTTCCGATGCCCAACACAAACCAATTTCTGAGCAATTCTTCCGGTAAGTGCCCGTCCTATCGATCTCACAATTACATCTAGAAACACTTAACTATGAGCCATTTCAGTGTCCCGATCACTTGGCATTGCGTTCCTCTTAACTTGGCAATCAACACAGCCTGTGCCTTAAAGACAGACAAAGCCTCTCTGTCAGCGGGCCCAGCGATTGCACCGAAGGGAAGGAAGCCTCCCGTGCTGCTCTGGGTCCTGAAATGTCTGCCTTGAGAAAAACTACCGGATGATCTGTGTGAGGGTAAAGGTGTGTTTCTGCTGAGAGTAGATGGTAGGACATCGGGAGTGTCCCGATGCATGAAATCTGTCCCGACAATTCCCTGAGAGTGGCCGAATCACAGTACACACGCAATGAACGCAGCGGAACAGTAATCAGTGTGGTCTTCATTATTAGCTAGGCGGAAGTCCAGTAACCCCAAAGCGCTCCTAATGGTAACAACTGGAACCATGGCTTATACTCAAGGACAAATAGACTCTCTTCCCTATCCCCACCCCCCCATCTAAATCTTGGGACCTGCCCACTCAAGACACACCTATGGGAAAGAGAGAGGGAAGGAAAAGCAGAAAAGGAAATCGGCAGAGAGAGACAGAGAGACTCTAAGTCTATCCAGGCAGCTATATGGATCTAGGCAGAGAAAGCCGACCACTGGGCCCCTTGGGGACACAGTCCAGCTGGCAATTCCACTGCTTGGCCTCTCAGAGAAGAGGAGAATGTGCCAGAGGAAGAGTGGGGTTCCCAACCCGCTGGGCACCAGACTCCTCTGAGGAGCTCTGGTAAAACAGGATTCACTGGGGACCAGCCCCCCCACACCTGCCAACAGCCCCCACCCCAACACACTAAGTCAGCAGACAGGAATCTGAACTTGAATCAAGGCCCTTCATCCCAAGTTGACTGTATTCCCATTTTTTTCACTTCAAAAAAATGAATTCTTTTATATGACAGTCCTGATATTTCAAAACGTCTCTTCTCCACGGCAAGTCACCTCAGTTTATTATCTTTGTTTTTGGTAAAGCTACCTTTAAAGCAATTAGTATGTTTGAGCCTTCTAAAAATATCCATAACATAAGCATTAAATAATCTACATGGTCAATGTGAAGTAGCCTGTATAAGATTACTCACTCATTCTGAAGTCTGGTTTAGTTTTTTATGCAGACTGGTAGGAGGCTGTCATTTTAAGATTTGGGAGAAGATGACTGAGGACACACATGTTGGGAACTTGGTAGACATTTGGGGTTCTGGCTCCTTTAAGAAGCTGAGTAGATTTAGAAGGGGCTGTTAGAGCACAAGGTAGGAGTGCACGGAAGACCAAGAACATTCTGTGCTGATCTTTCAAAATGAGAAATCCAGGCCGTGAGAGAAGGCTGGTTGCTCCCGAGACCAGGTGGAGAAGGCCTGGAAGCTGGGAAACAATCTCGGGGTTCCCACAGCAACAGGGAGGGGGGAGGAGCTCACTGGCAGCCTCCCCCACTTCCAGGCACAGGTGGGATGGGGAGCACTAATGAGCCCCAGGACAAGCTGCGATGAGAGAAAAGCTAAGAGCATCCCTGCAGCTACTCAGGAAGTCGGGTTTCCGTGTGGGGTAGACAGTTCATTTGAACATGGGACCTTTTCTCAGGTCACTGTAGCCTTCGGGGCTACAGCGGTTCTCAACCTGTGGGTCGCCAACAATGAAAATACATCCTGCATATCAGATATTTACATTACGATTCATAACAGTAGCAAAATTACAGTTATGAAGTAGCAACGAAAATAATTTTATGGTTGGGGGTCACCACAACATGAGGAACTGTATTAAAGGGTCGAGGCATTAGGAAGGTTGAGAACCACTGGCCGAGATAGATACAGACATAAATTCATCCTGTGCCCACGGGTGGAGGTGGGTCCCGTAACCTGTATCGTGTTCTAGTCTGTTTAGCAGAGAGCACAGAGCACCTGACTGAGGTTGGAAACTCGAGTTCAGGTGACGGGAGGAAGTCATGCGATCTCTCCAAGTGCAGTCTCCTCTATAAAATAAGTTTTTTTGATTCACAATGATCTGCCTTCCTCTCAAGTTTCCTGCAAGAACAAAGTGAAAATGAAAACTCACTTGGCAAAGCACAGGTTCTGTAGAAACCCGCTGTCATTCCCTGAAGTAGGTGGCGCCTTTGTTCCAAACTGCCTGCAGAGGGAGCCACCCTTGCCCGGGGTGTGGCCGAGCGAAGGGCAGTCCTGTGCTGGGGGTTAACTCATCTCCAGAGGGGCCTCGTGTAAAGTCTATGGAACCCCAACAACCTCTCCTCAACGCAGGATGCTTCCCTGATGATCCATGACAGGTGTCTCAGATGACCTGGGCCTTCAACGAGGCTGTATGTCTCCTTCCTTGTGTGGCATGAGGCTGTCACTTGCTCTGACCCTCCAGCTGGCTTTCCAAGTGGCCTGGGGTCACACCCTGCAGTGCACAGGCACTGCCACCAGGGGGCACTGTGGTGACTGGCCCATGAGGTCCTTACCCAGCCCCTTCAAGACTGCTACATAGTTCAAGGTTGCAGGATCACCTCTACTGCACCTTACGCTTCCTGGGCCCCACGTCACTGCCCCTCACTCTCGAGCTTGGCCTTTCACGTGCTCTCTCAGCTCCTGCAGTCCAGAGAGCCCTCCACTGGTCTCTCCTCCTCAGCTTGCCTGCTAAGCACTAAAATGTGCCCTGAAGCTAAGCTCTTCAAGACACATGATTTAAGCTTCTCTTTCAGCTAATTAGATATTGTTCTACAAATTGGGCTGCTCTTTCTGAAAGATGCGAGGCCGTGTATTCCCCCTGCCGTCTCTGTAAGCTTACACTGAACTGTAGAGCACAGCCACTGGGTTGAGGCCAGTGGGGAGATGATTCTGCACGAGGAATAGATGCCTGTCTTCTTGCTAACACTGAGCTTGTCTGGGCGTTCCTGAGTGTCTGCTGTGAGGGTGGCGGAAGGCTTTGTCTATCAGCGGTCACCAACCGGTGGTCCACAGACCATTAGTGGTCCCTGAGGTCCGAAAGGTTGGCGACTGCTGGCTTAGATGCCTCTCATCCTGTGACAGGAGGCCCTCCAGGGATGCATGGTGGTCTGTGCACCTGTAACCATCGCCTGAGTAACCACTCACATCTTCACCTTTGGAGGGAGGGGGATTTTTATTATCCCCATTTCACTGATGAGAAAACTGATACCCAGGGAAGTCAGGCCATTTGCTTAAGCTAAACATCAGATAAGTGGAGGAGCCAGACCGTGAGCCCAGCTCTCTGGTCTGCTGTCTGATTGCTCCATCAATTAGGCGGGATGCAGGGTGAGGCAGGGTTCCCACACTGGGCGAGGCCAGAGTAGATGTCCCACGGCTCTTGATGAGGTCCCACGGACCCTCTGAACCCTTCTGCGATTTGATCAAGGGCTTCACGCAGAGAGGGAGAAAGGATGCTTTCTGGAGGTCGCCTCTTTTCCTGTGCAGGGGGCCGGGTGTTCCCTCACCCTCAAGACTGTGCCCAGCACCTGATGAATGGCGACACGCTGAGTGGGGTCTACACCATCTTCCTCCACGGAGAGCCCGGCCAGAAGCTCCAGGTGTACTGCGACATGACCACGGACGGGGGTGGCTGGATTGTAAGTACGCACGCTGCTCCCCACGCATGCAGACAGCCCGGGGTCCTCATCCACTGGGCGCAGCGCCCACAGACCCACACCTCACAGACTCTGTCCCTTCAGTTACTCCCCTCCTGTCCCTCTTGGAGGCTCTTCACTGTCCTCGGGGCCCTTTCTCAGCAGCCCCGTCCTAGGCTTGGCCCCGCCGAGAGAGGAACAGCAGATGGAGGCTGCAGTGGCCTGGCCCAGGGAGGGGTTGCTTCTGCAATGGCAGTGCAGGCAGGGATGCCGGAGCAGGACCGGGTCCTGCCAGCGGTTCAGACAGGCCCGGGTCCTGCCCGCTGGGGTCTGCAGCTGCCAGAGGAGTAGCAGAGGTGAGCCTCTGTGGGGAGCTCATTAGGACCTTTCTGTCGGACAGCTGCGTATGAGGGAGCAGAGGAGGGCAGGGCATGGACAGCCACCTCCGGGTACCAAGGCCACCGTGTCCCCATCCTTCCTTGGACTCCCCGGTTCGTCTCCAGAGCTGTCCCAGCCTTCAGGGAGCACCATGATTAGGAAAAGAGACACCATTTCCTGTGGCCACCCTCCTCCACGTCTGATAGTTCAGGACAGAGAGAAGGGAAGGGTGGCTTCACTAACGTCCCTGCCCATCATGCAGCCCCACTGCAGCTGGAGGGTTCCCGCATTCCCACAGCCTAGCCTGCAGCAGCCTAGCCCACAGCAGCCCAGCCCGCAGCAGCCCGGCACTAGCTGGGTGGGTGCGCATGGGAAGGAGTAATTAAATGGAGTGAAATGGGACTGTGCTCGTAATAGCTACACTTGGGAGACATTTCCTTTTCTCTTCTGACATATCTGTGCCTCCTTCGTAAAGCATAGTTGGGAGTTGAAGCCGAGGCTGATGGATTGGAGGTTAGATGAAATGAGCACTTAAACAGCTCGCAAAGTGAATGATATGCAGTTCCTTGCCTGCGATGAGATAACGACAGTTACTGCTGATGTGGAGTTGGGCCTGTTCTTCCCGAGAGAAATGCTCTCTGCTGCACGGCCTGGTGCAAAGGACGGACCTGAGAGCCACCAACTCCCCTGTTTGGGGGCTCGCTGTGTCCGAGTCCTTTCTACATTGCTGGGTGCAAATTAGTGTCAACATCACAGCCGGCCTCTCCATCGGAGCCTCTGCACTTGGAGAAGGCGCTGTGTGTCTTCCAGGGAACGGATGGCCGTGCAAACACCAGCCCTGCCCCGCAGTGCCCCTTGTCCAGCTCATCCTCGCAGATGGAAAACTAGCTTCCAGCAACTTTCCTCCGGCCATCTTCCTCCCCTCTCTCTTCCCAGGTGTTCCAGAGGCGGCAAAATGGCCAGACTGACTTTTTCCGGAAGTGGGCGGAGTACCGCGCTGGCTTCGGGAACCTGGAGGATGAGTTTTGGCTGGGTAACGCCCGCTCTGCTTTCCCTGGGAGATGCTCTGGCTCTGGGTCCAGCACTCCTTCTGGGCCCATCGGGGGTTATCAGCACCCCCGTGTCTGTTGAGAAGTTGACAGCTCGTGAATTGCTTTCAGTTCCTCTGGCTCTGTTTGGCTGCACTATTGATCTGTTTTTATCTCCTTGTGGCGTTTTCCTCTCTGCCCCGTCTCTTCCCATCCTCATTAATAGTCTCTTATGCTGATGGGTCTTGACAGGAAGCAACTACAAAGCGCGGATCGGCCTGGTGTGCGAGGGGCATGAGGGCCACAGGGCGGCGGGTCACCTTACGAGCAGCCAGCCAGCCAGCCAGCCAGCCTGCAGGCAAGAGAGGACGAGGCAGGCGCCACACACGCTCGGTTCTCTGGGGGAATGTTACTCCCTGCCTGGGCCAGCGAGGGAGGGAAGTGAGAATGGCAGAGAGGTGGCCGGCAGTGTCCCCGAGTTCTGACAGGAGCGGAGGTGTAGATTGAGAACTGAGCAGATGTGAGGCGGGAAGCACACACCTGGCCCAGGCAGACGGCGGGACATCCTGATGACCTGCCTCTCCCTCTTGGTGAGATGTTCAGCCACTGGTCCAGGGAGGCGGGGAGAGGAGATAAGCGTGTTCCGAACTGGCGGCCTCCAACACCTCCCTGTCACTATCTCATCTGGGCCTCACTCGCTTTCCCCCTCACTGGCCTCCCTGCCTCCAGGACCACTCAGCGTCCACATGGCCACTAGGATGAGCTTCCTCACACCCAAAACCTGCCCAGCGGCCAACCCCCTGTGTAAGCCGTCTCCGCCTCGCCGCCAGGTGAAAGCCAAGCCCCTGACCCCTGGCCCGGCCTCTCTCCTCTGCCTTGGAGCCTGCGCCCACCTTAGCACCTCTCTCCTCCCACACGGCCCCACCCCCACCAACTGCGAACACTCGGAATCACTGATGATGCTTCCTCTGCAAGGAGCTGTCCCTCCCTGCACACCGTGGCGTCCATCCACGTCCATTCAAAGACCAGAGAGCCCATCCTACCCACTGGTCTCACCCTTTGCCTGTGGGAGAATGGGCCCCTCCCTTATTGGTGGCCAATTTCCTGTCTCAAATCAGTGTCCATTTCCTTATCCCCCTTGACTATACTACATAAACTGTGGGGCTTGGACCACATCATCTTCATCTCTGAACCCCGCTGCCTATTACAGTGCCTGGGGATAGCAGGTAAAGCGTCGCTGTCAGTCAGTGGTAAGATTACGGAGTGTCTGTTAGGAAACCAGATCTGTGTTTGCTGATGTAGGTAATAAATCTATGAGGTGAAAGTCACATAAAAATGCTGAGAGAGAAGTCAGTGACTAAGAAACACTGGCCCTCGACGAGTTTGGAAACTGCTTGGGAGACAGCAGTGCCTGGGCCAGTGCCCCCACCGTAGGCAGGGCTCTGTGCCCAAACCCGTGCCTGCCCCCACAACCTTTGTCCCATCTGTGAAACACCTGAGCTGTCGGCACTTGTGTTTTCTCTATATCGCTGTTTAGTTCATAAATCTATTGTTTGGGGAAAGAAACTTGGAAGCATCGCCCAAGTGGGAAGCTGGTTATGTGCAGTCCTAAAGGGAGCCTCAGAAATCCATGCCAGGAAAACAACACTCATCCTATATAATAAAATCCTAATATGCAAATTGACAGAACGGTGGAACAACTGGTCGCTGTGACACACACTGACCACCAGGGGGCAGACGCTCAACACAGGAGCTTCCCCCTGGTGGTCAGTGCGCTCCCACAGAAGCCAGGCTCATGGCTGGAGAGCGCAGCAGCGGTGGCGGGAGCCTCTCCCACCTCCGCAGCAGCGCTAAGGACCCCTTAGGGGATGTCCGACTTTAAGCCGGCAGGTGGACATCCCCTGAGGGATCCTGGACTGTGAGAGGGCGCAGGCCAGGCTGAGGGGAACCCCGCACCCCCAGTGCACAAATGTCGTGCACCGGGCCTCTAGTGTTATTAAATGACCGTTAAACCCAGTGCTCCCAGCCTGTGGCTGCTGCTACTGGTAGTAACAGTGAGATTAGAAGTGTTGGGTGTTAAACGACAGGAAGTACTAGCACCAAACCGAGAATGAGTTAAGGTTAGAATCAGGCTTAAGGCTGCTCCTTAATCTATTAAGGATAGGATTTGGAAATACCTCTCTCCCCATATGTTCAAGGTTATGTAGTCCTAAGGCCCCAGATATTTGTCCTCATCAGAGATGTTGTCCCACACTGGGAAACGCTGTACTAACCTGTGAGCTCCTGGCAAAGAGGCCACATATCCTCAGAGACACGGCAGTAGGGGGTGGGGGCGGTGAAGGGGGAGAGAGGGGACATGTCCTGACACCCTCCCATCTCCTAGCAGCCTGTGACCACTGTTTCAGCCTCACAAGGAGGCAGCGAGGGGTGCGCAGGAGGGAAGGGGACCAGAGGAGAGGGAAGACAGGGATCCTTCTGATGCGGCAAATGGGACAGGGAAGAAGTCAGAGGAAAGGCGCGGGCAGGGGAAGGAGAAAGGAGGCCAGGTGGGTTGAATGAAGTGAATGAAGGCCGTGTAGTATCTAAAGTGGGGAAGCGACATCTGTGGGTAACAGGGAGCCACTGAGGGCTCCTGAACAAAGGCCTGGCCCGGGGATGCGTTGTATGGCAGCAAGACTCAGGTTGGGGTGACACTGTGACCCCTGGTTTATGTCCTAAGTCGGGTTCCCTAGCAGCAGAGCCTGAGACAGGGATTCTTATTTGAGGGGTATATCTGGGGGTGCTCTCAGGAGAGGGGGGAGCAGGGCAAGCAGGATAAAGCAGGGGAAAGTGCGAACGTGTGGTCTTGGTTGGGGACTAGCTTCAGTCTGATCCTTAGGGAAGCTCTGAGCATAAACTCCTCAGGGTTGGGGTAAGAGGGCCACCCCCCACATCAGGCACTGACGGAGGTCGCCCTGTGGCGGGGTGGAGGGTGCAGCTTCTGGGTGCAGTGACTCCCGTTCAGGCGATTATCCAAGAGGGAGGCAGCTATGAGTTATGTGGAGGCTGGGAGAGGAGGGGTGTGGAATGAATGGTAGACTGACCCCTCGCCAGCTGCTGGGAGGTGGGAGGATGTTGGGATATCCTGGGCCCAGGGTCCGTCCTCGACTCCTGTGGCCACTGTTTCTACCTCTTGCCCCCTGTCACTCATGCCGGAGCCTCAGGCCCCTGTGGTGCTCCTGCCACTGTCAGCCACACCAGGTTGGAGTGAGAGGCGCAGGGGCGGGGCCGGGATGCTGAGGCTCCGGGCTCCTCAGACACCAGGTCAGACCAGACGTCAGGCCCGGAGCTGACCGGTGCTGGGACTCCTCCGTAGACCTGGCTGGCCCTTCGCAGGGGCCGAGTCGGAGTCCGGGAGGGTCTGTCTGAGGGTCGGAGTCCCCGATACCCCTCCTCCTCCCCGGGATGTATTTTAGAGCCACGGTCCCATTTCCCAAGCCACCGGGCCAGGCTCCTACATCCTCTGCTCGTCTCCGCAGGGCTGGACAACATACACAGGATCACGTCCCAGGGCCGCTACGAGCTGCGCGTGGACATGCGCGACGGCCAGGAGGCCGCCTTCGCCCACTATGACAAGTTCTCGGTCGAGGACAGCAGGAACCTGTACAAGCTCCGCGTAGGCGGCTACAATGGCACTGCAGGTACCTGGGCCCCCAGCAGACCAGGGCCCCTCGCTCCAGGCCTGAGCTGCCCTGGGATTCCCTGCCGGCCGGTGAACTGGGCACGGGCTGCGAATCACTGGCCCTGGCCCAGCTGCCCCTCACCACCCGGCGGCCTGAAATCAGTTTCCTCGTCTGGAGCATGATCATAGGGATCCCTGCCTAGTGCACAGCAGCCAGGAACAGGCAGTTCAGGCCGGGAACGTGCTTTTAAGGTTTAAACACCGAAGTTCAGTGGGAGGGCCAAGGACAATTCTTCTTGTCTCAATCATTCAATATGGGCTCCTATCCAGAGAGCAGAACCCCGTGCTGTCTGGGCAGAAACCTCCCCTCAGTGACACGAGGAAACCACCCTGAACTGAGGAAACTAACCAGATCCCGCATATTCTGAGATGCCCCCCCCACACACACACACACACACACACACACACAGAAGTCGTCATCACAGCCATCAAGGAGCAAGCCACAGCACTAATGGTGCCCACATTCCGCTCATCCGTACATCACCACGTCTTCTGTGTAGACGCTGATGACATTTACACTCAGAAGAATACCCGTGGCCTTAATGGTTTCATCAGAACCGAATGCTGGGCCGGTCCTGAGGTGCAGCCTGTCTGTTCCCTGGGGTCTACTCCATAAAGCCTGTGTTTGCCAAATGTTCTATTGTTTGGTGCAGGGAGTGATGGGCCTTGCATTTACTCGGATTTTAGGACTTAGGGCCAGTGTATAATTCTAGCAGCATTTTTATGCCTCTTGGCACTGAGAGGACCATCGAGGTGTTGCCCTTCCAATTCCGGCCTCTGTCCAATTATTTCTCTCTCCAGCCAAGTACATTACTCCAAAGAGAAGGCACGCTTCCCTTTGCTACACTTCAAATTTCAGACCCTTCCCTATGGCCACGAGCCCTGCCCGAGTGCCCCACGGAAGGTCCAATCACCACGCTTCGGGCATAGCATAGCCATTGAAATGCACTCCAGTGAACAAAGTATCAGACAGATTCATTCACAGATAAGGAGGCTGCATGGCGGTGACCAGGTTGTCCCGTGTTACCAGGCTCATCACTGTCCCCCCGGAAACAGAGGGAGTTGTGCACGTCTGTCCCATGCGGGCCTGGAGGAAACAGGCAGAGGTTGGAGGTGCCGCATGGACAGGGTTCTGAGCAGGTTGGGGAAGTAGGAGATGAGCTGGAGCGAGCAGCGTGGAAGCAGCTGCCCCAGGGGAGGGGAGGACGTTCAGTTCAGCCAGACTGACCCACAGGTGGAAGGAAAAGGGGGGCTCAGTGGAAGGTCCCATAAGTGGAAGCCGGTTGGTTGGGAGCAGGTCAAACGTCCAGAAAATCCTGACGGAGGAGGAACAAACTGAACGGCCTCCCGCGTGTTCCTTTTCCCCAGGGGACTCCCTCAGCTACCACCAGGGACGCCCTTTCTCCACTGCGGACAGAGACAACGACATCGCCGTGACCAACTGCGCCCTGTCGTACAAGGGGGCATGGTGGTATAAGAACTGCCACCGGACCAACCTCAACGGGAAGTACGGGGAGTCCAGGCACAGCCAGGTGGGTGGAGTCTGCCGCCGGGATAAGCCGGAGCTGAGCGGTCCCTTAGCGGATGTGTTCATTGCACAGGCGGGTCTTACTCAGGGTCTCAGGGAAGGAGTATCGTGAAGAGGAAGGTAATGCAGACGCTGAGGGCGGGCAGGACAGGGTAGAAGCAGTGGAAGGAGAGGAAGCAGCCTACGAAGTGTCCCAGGAACAGAGAATGAGAAATACCGGTGTTAACCGGCCCGTCTATCCCCGTTAGAGACCACATGCCCGTGGGCCGAGCGGGGTGACGGGTGACCCGCTAGGACGTGCCCAGCATTAGCCCTGAAAGCCAGCAGCCAGGGAACCCCGTGGTCCCGGCAAACCCAGGGTTGGTCTCCATCAGCGGAAACCACCTGGCCTCCCACCAGGAGTGAGCAGGCACTCGGTGACCCTCCAAAATGCGTCTGTGCTGTGGGGACTTTGCACACAAACCCCGAAGGCCAAACACAGAGCCAGCCACGGGGAGCGGCGCGGCCACAGCACGTTTCCAGGGAAAAGGCTGGAGAGAGGCTGTGCTATGGCCTCATCTCGGGGGATCTGACACGCTCGTCTTTCTCCTTCCCAGGGCATCAACTGGTACCACTGGAAAGGCCACGAGTTCTCCATCCCCTTCGTGGAAATGAAGACGCGCCCCTACAACCACCGGCCCCTGGCGGGGAGGAAGCGGCGGTCCTTGCACTTCTGAGCCGTGGGCGGCCGCCGGCCGCCTGACCTTTCTGTCATTTGTTTGTATTTTATAAACCAAGCAAGGGGTGGGGATCACAGCACTGCGCATTGCAACGTGTCCCGAGTGTTCGAAGGAAGCAGGGAGTGGCAGGAATCGGTTGAGAATTAGCTGCTTATGGTTTCTGCTGCCCTCGGGCCTGACCCAGTCCATTCTCCCTCCTCCCCAGCCACCTTAGCCGGCCCCTTTTCCCACCAGGAGGAGAAGGGAGATGTTTCCCTAAAAGACCAAATCAAAGGCCAGTGGTGGAGTCCGGTTGCTATGGTGACGGGCTTGTGCCTTCGCCCCTTGCCCTCCCTCGGAGACGTCCTTCCCTTCCCGGCATGTGTCCCTGGTCACTGCCTCCCACGGAAGAAGCCTCCACAAGAGAGTTTGCGCACAACGCCCCCAAGAGGCAGCTCGACCTTGCCATCCGCCAGCCCAAGCCTCTTTCACAGGCCAGAGGTTCTCACCTTCTGACCCTTCCGCCGAGTGGCCCTGTGACCTCTCAAGAGTAGTGACCTCCCTTCCAGCCCTCACGGAGCCTGTGCCTGCCCCCTACCCTGAGGCCCCGGGCCCCACAAGCCCAGCCACTGCTTCCGACGATAGTTCCCAAGGTGCCCGGTGCCCGTGGCTGGCCCCGAGCTGCTCATGGTGTGTCCCTGTGGGTCTCTGGGAGGGGGAGAGGGAGAGAGTAGCGGGTTTTAGCGCTTTGGGGTCCAGCCTGGAGGAAAGGAAGGAGGAGGAGAATTCAGGGCCCCTGTCACTGAGGTTCGAGGTCCCATGGGGAACACAGGTCTTTATTTCTGGTTCTCTGTGTCACGAACAGTTTTTTTCTGAGTTGCAAACTGATTGCTGTCCTTAGCCAGGCTCTCCTTTGTGTGGGAGGCTTAATAAGAGTCAGAGAAAGACGTTATATGACCAGCCAGCCATTCTCCCAGCTGGTAGTCCCTGGAAGAGGTGGGGTTTGGGGGTTTTCTTCTTCTTCTTGTTTTTTTTCCCCTTTTTTTGGTCCCATAGAGACAGGAATGGCCTCCTTAATGAGGTGAGTTCCTGAGAAGGCTTCTCCACCTTCTTTTATTTCTCTGCCTTTGAGAGGAGAAATGAAATGACATCTAGAAATCCAAGGTGAACAGGGAGGGCTGTGGGCCACCTCCCCTCTGATGAGATGTTCTCTCTCCACTGGCTGGTCTGTGATTTGATTTTTAAGCCCGAGAGAGCTGGAGGCTCTAGAAGCCAGGACCCTTCAGCTTCTCCAAATCAAACATTAGCTGCCATCGTCCCCACGGCGCCGGCCAAACCCAGGCTGTTTCCCCAGCTGCCCTCCCCCGTCCTCTCCTCCTCAAGGCCTCAGTTCCACTCTCTGTAGTGTCCAACTGGGGCAACCGGGTACCTGTACCACCTGCAGTCTAGCCAAGCATGATAACCAGGAGACCATCCCTCGGGCTGATGACCACACCTGTGGTCACTTGCTGTGCACACTGTCCCTTTAGCAGGCCGCCAAGGCCTTGTCACGGCTGTGGTGTGGATGTGATTGACATGCCCGGGACCGAAAAACAGAGGTGGCATTTCCATTTCTCAGTTCACTGTGGGCCTCAGAAAAACAAGGAGAAGCAGGGAAACACAAGCAAGCCTTTCTAGAAACCTGTAAGTTAAATGAGACTTCGTGGAGTGGGCCGCCAGTGAACAGCAGGGAGCACGCTGAATGAGCTGAGCGACAGGCCGTTCTGCTGGCCCTGTGACGTCAAGGAGGTTGCTTCATCTCTCTGGGCCTCCATCTCCTCACCTGTTACATGAAAGATTAGGCCAGAATGGCTTCTAACTTCCCTTTCAGCTTTGACAGTCAGTGATGCCCATCTCTCATCTGAAAATCTGCATAGAAATTGGCATTGGGGAGGAAGCACAATCAAGCCATGAAAATGCACCAGAAACCCAGCTTTATTTAGGAAGGGAGGGAGGAGGGAGGGAGGGAAGGAAGCAAGGATGGAGGGAGAAGTCATCAGTGAAACACACACACACACCCACACACACACACACACACACACACACACGTTGCAGGAAGGATTATGCCCCATAGGAGGCTGCACTCATTTTGTCTGCGAAAGCAGAGCCCAGGGACCTGGGTGGCACCGATACTGCCCATCTCGTCAAGGGACTGACACAGAGAAACGTTCTGAATCCTCATGTCGCCACTCGGGCTACAGCCAGGAAACGCTGCAGAAACCCCAATCTGCCTTTTGTTGGAAGTACCGCACCCTGTGGAGCACTTCTATAAATAGTCTCGCAGCACGGCCCTGATCCATGTGAAAGAATAGTAAAGCAAGGAAGGGACTTCAAAGATTAGCTCACCCAACCTTCAGTCCAAGGATTTATAGATTCCTTTTATTAAGTAGAGTCATTTTGTCACGAATTTTTATCGTTTTTAAGGCCATGGTCAACTTCACTCAGAGCTGCTACCTCCCTCCCTGACTCCTGCTAATCCTGCTCCCCCAAGCAGGTGCTCTTCCGGGGGTGGATCCTGAGCAGCGCCCACAGAGCACCCGGCCTACACCAGCGCGTCCCTCCAGGGACAGAAAGGAGATGTGCACCCTGCCCAGGGGCAGTTTAGCTGGAGACACCCAGGATGCGTACTCGCAGACACACACAATCCACCGATGACGGCTACAGACTCACTGCCTAGACCCAAGATCCAGACAGTTCCTCCTGTTTGCATTTCCCCATCAGAGAGAGATCATTTCCAGCTCAGTAAACTCACATTCTCCAGGGTTATTTCTGGAAGGTGAAGGGAGGAATGGGGAAGACAAATCTGTGGGAAACTCCTGCTGCTCTTTAGACCAGATTTAACTGGAGGAGGGAGCTTGCTAAGTGTCACCACCAGGGGGCGATCACAACCCCAGCCCCTCCTGTAACCTCCTGTGAGTCATCTAGGGGTGAGGACAGCAAGTGCCTCCAGGTTACCAGGAGAACCCACACCAAAGGAAAACTGGCCAACAGATGAACAGATTTGTAAATAATAATAATAATAAATAATAATAATAATAATGGCAGCAAAGAAATGCAGAGCAAACTTCCACAAACAGTTCAATGCCCCGGACCCTTCACAGCCCCACTCCTCATGAAGACGTAAGAGACCTCACACCTGCTCCTGGCATCCTGAGAACTGGCCTTCCCAAGACAGACCTGGAGAACCAAGGTTGCCAATGAGCTCAATGCCAAACCAAACAATCCCAACCTCACTTAGACTTTACAAGCCAGTCCCAGGACAGAGCTGTAGATTCAGGGACAAACAGTCATTCAGGGACCTTTTCAAAGAGCTCTTGTCGAAGCACCGGTGAGAAAGGGCTTAGAGTTCCTCTCTGTCCCCTCCTCTGGGGGAAACAGAACCTGTGAGAACAGCAGGTGCACAGAGCTGAGGGCGCTGACACCCACTAGCTGGTGGCCGGGAATTGCAAATACACCTGGGGCTTGAAAATATTTTTTTTTTAACCACCCAGGATTTCAGGAAAGGCGGAGCCCCTGGCTCAGGACATGTGCTTCTCTATGGCTTTTTTCTGATCAGCAGACTCCCATTCAGTCCAGTTCCTTACTCCCATTTCTTTGCTCCAAAGGGCGCATTTGTCTTGGATCTCACTGTCTGCTCTCAAAACCCTTAGAGGAATCTCTGGGAGATGCCACCTTGAGTTCCATCCCCCTGGTCTCATGGAACAATTTGTGTTCTCTTGCCTCAGACTTGCCAAAGCTGCGAGAGGGGCCTTGGACCTCAGAGGCTGGGGTGCAACCTGAATGTGGGAGTCTGCCTCATGCCCACAGCTCCAGGTTCCGGGAGCTGCTGCCAGCTCTGCCTGGCCACCAAATAACAAAGAGAAGCTGGTGGATCATTAGAGACTAAAAGCAAGCCGCCTCCAGATGGGCCCACAGTAAAAATGCAGAGACCGGGCGTGAAGGGCCGACATTAGTTCCCTGCTCTTTGTGCCCCCCCCCAGCACCCCTGTCTGCTCCCCACTTCACCTGAGAAGGTGGAGGTCCCAGGGGCCTGTCGCTGCACAGAAACTGCCTCGCTCCACCCACCCTGCCTGGACCGCACGTTCCTTCCCGAGCAGTCACAAGCCCGATCTGTCACCTCCAGCATTTCTGATTAATTTTTCGAGGTCACCCTTTGCCTGAAGCATGACTTCACTGCACCTGCAGCACTTCATTGTCCAAATGTCCTTGGCCAGCCTCTCAGTCTTTGGACAGTGTTGCCTTTTCTCCAAACCGGAAATCCTCCCTCCTTCTCCAAGCTTAATCGGGCACTTGCAGGACATTCAAATAGCACAGCTCTTGTTCCTCAGAAAAACTCTGCCCCCTCTGCTAACTAGTGAAACAGCTCCTCATTGTCGGCTGTGAGGCTGGGCTGATGCTGAGTTTCCAGGTCAGAAGCGTTTAACGCTTTCGGTCTCCCCAGCGGCTCTCCCAGGGGAACCCCTAGGCCACAGAGAGGGTTGGGGTCCGGAGACATGGCCAGGAGGCAGATGCATGGATGAGAACTATTGGTTTCTTCCCCTCAGTGGTTTCAGAGCCCCAGGGAGACCCTGGGCTGCTTCTGAACATCCTGACATTGAACACAAACATGCTCAACACTGCCTCCAACAGGCCAACGCTGGGCAGACTCCCACCTTCAGGTTGCACCCCAGCCTCTGAGGTCCAAGGCCCCTCTCACAGCTTTGGCAAGTCTGAGGCAAGAGAACACAAATTGTCCGATGAGATCAGGGGGATGGAACTCAAGTTGGCATCTTCCAGTCCCCTTCAGCCCTGGAGGGGACTCCATATCTGACCCCTCTCTCATTTCACCCACAGGCCCAGAAAGGTTAGGCGACTGGCTCCCGTTCACAGGGCTGGCTAGTAACAGAGCTGCAATCAGATTTGGCATAAACTTTTTCACTTCCTCTCCCCAAACGAAGGCTGAGAGAATCGGAATTCGTGCACACCTGCTGTTTTCCAGA